AGGAATGTCTCGAACAGTTCTTTCGTGTGATCAATTCTTAGTTTTCGAGTTAACATTTCGAACCTTTAAGCTTTTATAACCTACCTTTCGTTCGAATGGTTGTCCTTACTATCCGACATACTACTACTCGGCAAGGTTGACCCTTCCACTTTTCGGCCATTGCTACCTTCCGGTCTTCAATTATTCTACTCTTCGTCTTGAACTCTTCGCAGCACGGACTATTCGTAGTTCCTTGACATCTCATCTGAGAGCTTGGTTAGTTGTTCGAATTGTAACTATTCAAATTATAATTCGTACTCCTCGAAATTATTTGCACTAGAAGAAAAATTCCTAAATCTAAAAGGGTAAAATCAAATTGGGGGGCTAACTTTCCTAAGCCTTTTGATATCATGAAAATATAATTTACACTTGTTTCTAACCGTTTAATTACCTAGTGGATTCTATTTATAGCATATGACATTTTTATACCACGCACATATCTCTCTAAACGAAATTCTATATTAAACCATGTTACTTTTAAAGTTACCTTTGAATAAATAAGTGCGGAAGTGATTGGGAGTAATAACTCCCAACTTTGACACTTCTTGGCTTGGGTTCAAGGACTAACTTCTTAATTATTTGAATTAATTAATGAATAAGTCTTAGATTGAATTGAACTGTCCACATTCGATAAATTTGAATCCATATGGAAACGAGTAACATGCGCAAATTATGCTGTGCATCCGTATGCATCATGCATGGTGCATACGGATGTAAAAACAACGTCGTTTTGGTTAAAAAATGCGCGTCGCACTTAAAAAGGAAATCAGGTTCGATTCCCGGCAATAGCATTTTTATATATCCATAAATTCATAACTATATATCCATAAATTCATAACTATATATCCACAGTGAATGAATGAAGTAAAAATCCACAATGAATGAACTAAATATCCACAATGAATGAACTAAATATTCATAATGATTGAACTAAATATCCCCAATGAATGAACTAAATATCCATAAATTCATAACTATATATCCAGAAATTCATAACTATATATCCATAAATTCATAACTATATATCCATAGTGAATAAATGAAGTAAATATCTACAATGAATGAACTAAATATCCACAATGAATGAACTAAATATCCATAATTAAATTTATAACTATATATCCAGAAATTCATAACTATATATCTAGAAATTCATAACTATATACCCACAATAATACTATTACCGAGAATCGAACCTGATTTTTTTTTTTTTTTTTTAAGTGGGACGCACATTTTTAGTTAAAACGACATTATTTTGCGTCGTATGCACCATGCTTGGTGCATTCGGTTGCACAACATAACTATTGAGTAACATGATCCTTTCTTGCCCAAATTGAGAAATGATCTTAGAATCTTAGATTAAAGTAGGCAAGTAGGCATTAATTAAATGAATTATTTATTTATTTTGCATAGCGCATGTATTACGTGCGCAATATATTTTTGAAATAGCGATTAGCGTAACCATGCAAATGCTATTGCGTGAGGTTTGGCTTTTTGCATGGCTTTAGGAGAAATTCACTTCAAACTTAAAAATAAATCACAACACAAGGCTGCTTCCACCTTGATCTGCTCATGTGAAAATGAAAAATTTGATTGGTAAAAGTGGAATATAAAATATAAAACAAAAGTTAGTGTGGGACTGTTTTACGGATCTTTGTTTATGAGACGGATCGGGTCAATATGACTTATACTAGCATATGTAATACTAAATTAGGAATAAAATGTTTATTACTTATATGGAAAAATGTAATACGGAGTACTTTTGAAGAAAAATGTAATACTTTTATATTTTGATGTAAAAGTATTACATTTTTTCATCAAAAGTATTACATTTTCCTTTATAAGTGCAACATTACTTATAAGGAAAAAATGTAATATTTTTTATGAACAAAGTAATACTTTTACATCAAAATATAAAAGTATTACATTTGTCATTAAAAATATTATATTACGACGTTTTTCCTTATAAGTAACAAACATTTTATTACTGATTTAGTATCACATTTGTTAATATAAGCATTACATTTGCATATTGTCATAATCCGATCCGACCTGTCTCACAGATAAAAATTCGTGAGATGTTTTCACATAAGTGTGACTCAAAATATAAATGTATAATACAAATGACACAGAAAACAAATATTTAACATAATTTATACTTCCGATACATTTTTATTGCAGTGATTAAAATCATTGGCTCTTATTAAATTTTGATATAGATATTGAATTAAAAAAAAAAAGAAAAGAAAAAGAAAAAGAAATTAGATGTTCATGTGTTAAATATAACTATAAACATCAAAAGTCTACGCTAGATGTTGAGAGATTGGGATGTACACATGGCAAGTGAGAATGTGAGATGATGAGACTTTTTATTATCTGAACATGGTATTACTATTATATGACGTGTATATGAATATGAATGCGGTGTTCAATTCCCTAGTCCGTAGATTAAGGCTCACAGAACACCATGTGCTTATAATACATTATATTGTACCATATGAATGGCGTTTATAAGCGCACGGACCACCATGTTCATATAATACAATGTTGCCCGTATGAATAGCTCAATTAATCATAAGGATAAAATTTGAGAATAATGATTCAGGATTGAGTCTCACCAGCAGTAGCGTAGGAGCAATCTCTCAAAGTGAGGGGGACTCTTTGTGTGCAGTAAGCAATGGTTTAGCCTATGTGTTCAACTGAGTTACCATGATTTAATTTTTTGAGATGCTCTGTCCAGGATGTGGGGCCACTATGTTCATATAATACAATGTTTTTTGCGCTCTTCTGAATGAGACAAATTGGAGATCACTAAGATTCAATCCCTATTACTCTTAAATGTATCAAAACAAATGTTCTTTAACTTCTTATGTATATTTTGAATAACATAGACGTTTATTAAGTGTTTTGGTTACGAGTTTATTGTTATTTTTTTAAAATTATAATTCATTTCTTAAACTTATGCGCGCGTATCTTAATTTAATCGAGAAATGTTTAATTTTTTTTTTTTTTTTTTTTAACTTAACTAAAAAGGGTTGAGTGGTTTAAGAGCATCCACATGAGTATTTTTGTGGAGTTTTGGCAAAAGGAAAAAATTAAGATAGAGTTTTTGTACTGATGGGGTGGAGTTTTTATAGAGTTTTTTGTCTTACAAATAAAAAATTTTTGTGGCCTGAAATAATGGACAAATGACACGCAGGATGCCCATTTTGTGCACGGACGCCCAGCTAGGAGTGAAAAAAGTTTTTTTTTTTTTTTGTTTTTTTTTTCTTTTTAATAAGGAGCTATTTCATTAATCATAAGTTGAAACGATTACAATAAATATCGATAGAGTGATAAAATGTTCTTTACGGTCAAACATATAAACAACTATGCATAAAACTAACATTTTTTTTAGAATTATTTTTTTCTCTCCTTTTTCCGTCTATCCTTTCTCTTAATTGGCCTGATAAAAACTCCAATAAAACTATGTATATTGAGGTTGCTCTAAGTATATGTGTCAATAGCATAGTGGAAGGTACAAAAAATGTAATATTTCGTGATACACAATATATATATATATATATATATATATATATATATATATATATATATATATATATATATATATATATATATGATTTTGGATCAAATACAAATGGGTAAAAAATGCGCACAATTGCTAACAGTAGATGTATTCTAAATCAACAGTTCAGATTGAATATTAAATTATTAATTAAAAAACGCGTGGTGACATAATTGTAATTTTGAGTAAGTCAGTTTGTCTTTTGTATCCGAGTACACATTTTTCATTCTTCAAGTGCATATTTCTCTTCTTCGAGTGCATTTGTTTTGTTTCTGTATTTAATTTCTCAATATTTGAGTGCAAAATATTGGCCTTCAAGTGCACGTTTTGTAGCCTTCAAGTGCATGTTTTCATTTCTAAAAATGCACACTTAATTTTCTTATAATTCTCCATTTTAGTTTCTTTTTCCCCATTGCCTTCTAGTGATCCTCTTTATGCTTTCAAGTGCCCAATTTCATGCCTACAAGTGCATGTGTGTCTTACTATTGTGTTAAAAAATAATACTTTGCATTCCATTGAACTTTTTTTTTCCCTTCTAGTGCATGTTTTTAACCTTCAAGTGCATAGTTTCTTTTCTAAGAGTACAATTAATTTCCTTCGAATTTTTCCTTTAGTGTCTTTTTTTTCCCCCCCCCTCGCCTTCTAGTGATCCTCTTTATGCCTTCAAGTGCTCAATTTCATGTCTACAAGTGTATGTGTGTCTTACTATTGTTAAATAATTAAAAAAAAAAAAAAACTTAGCATTCAAGTGAATCTTTTTTTTTTTTTTTTTTTTTTTCCTTCTAGTGCATGTTTTTAGCCTTCAAGTACACATTTTTATGCCTTCAAATGCATATTTTCTTGCCTTTAAGTGCACAATTCTGGGCCGTATTTGTTATATCTTGTGTATTCTTTTCAATAACATATAACTAAATTTCTAATGAAATTTGTGAGATTTACAAACAATTTGTATGAGTAATTGCTTTAATAACACTTAAGTTGAATAACTTTCATTTTTTGTACCATAAATTGTATCAATTGCATATCTATTTACCTTCGAGTGCAGAATTTTTACCTTCAAGTGCACATTTTTGTATCTTCTAGTGCATGATTTTGAACTTTCAAGTGTACATTTCGTATATAATACGAAATAATTTCTTTTAAGAGATGCATTATAAATTATAATGGAAACATTTCGTATAGAATTTTTTTAACCACATTTTCGCACCGAGAGAAGCTTTCGCACTTGATCCTAAACATATATATATCTTCTGATTTCTTAATATGAGTATATGGTTGGGTTAAAATAATGGACGATTAAGTTGACTTTGAATCGCGCGAGACACATTGTCGGTCTAGCTCGCAAAAGGGAGATTATTTATGTAACGTTTAATACACTCAACAAGTTTCAGAAGTCCTCAAAATTGAAGTCCAGAAAAACCAAAGGCAAACACGTACGAGAAAAATGGCATTATTCCTCTCACTGTCGACACCAAACGCTAAATCTCTTCCCTTTTCGCCCCAAATCTACCCTTTACGCCGGCAAACGCAAACCGGAATTCTTCTTCGTAACTATTCCAGCATTTGCCGAGGACAAAATCCATTCACTTATTATCGCAATGGAGAAATACAACATACTCTTTCTAGAAAGTTATCACCCATTGTGAGGGCGGCGGAAACGCCGGCAGGTTCTGACGACAACGGAGAAGACATGACGTCGCCGCCGCTGCCGGCGAGAATGTTGAAATTTTTGGATGTGGGGCCTGGGTCGCCGGCGGGGGCGGTGCTGTTGGCGTCGACGCATTTGCTGTGCCTGTTTGCCCCATTTTGTTTCACTTGGGATGCCGCCGGCGTTGCGTTGGGGTTGGCCGTCGTCACGGCGTTGGGAGTTACTCTCTCTTATCATAGGAATCTGTGTCACCGGAGTTTCAAGATTCCCAAGTGGCTTGAGTACCTGTTTGCCTATTGTGGTGTTCATGCACTTCAGGTCAGTTTTCAATATATTCCTTTGTTTAATTACTTGGTTAGGGAGCATTTATTAAGAGATGTCAAATGGGTACACATTCAATTCTTGCATGGATTAGGTGCCAAATGTTCACATGCATGCAAGCATGGTGACTTGAAATAGTAAAAATAACAATGAAATAGTGTTTGGGAACAACAATGAAATAGTAAAATATAATTTATTACATTAAAAAGAATACTTCATAAATGAAGAAATTGGATGTGTAGTTGGAAAAGAATTAAATACGTGCTGGTTATATTTCTTGTGGAAAAATGGTACAACTTATCCAATTTTAATGTTTGTTATATTCTAAATGAGTGGTCACATGATCGAACTTAATGGTGCATGAGAGATTTGATTTTTTGGGTTTAAAAAAAATTGAGAAAGTATAAAACTTATATTATCTTATAAAGAATCATGAGTAATGTCTCATAAAAAAATGATACAATAATATTTTTTTCGACGGACAAGAAAAACTCGCAGCTATTATACTACTCAAAGGGTATACATTAGTAAGTCCAGCCTTATGACTTTAGTTAGCAAATGACCACAAAGAGATAAACCATCCTAGATTCTACTCAAATCAAGAAGATTAATAGGTTACTCTCGTTGGGAGTCAAACTCATAATATAATCTTGTACTGGTTACATTTGACCAACTTGGTCGTGATTGCTTCCGATTTATTTATTTATTTTTGGGTCATATACAAAGGAGTAGCATATTCTTAAGATTTTTGACTAAAGAAAAACTCCTTTAATTTAACAGTGTATAAATCTTAGCTTTTGTGATTTATCATTTTTTGTTTTGTTTTTATAGGGGGATCCAATTGGTTGGGTGAGTACCCATAGACAACACCACCAGCATTGTGATTCTGAGAAAGATCCTCATAGTCCCATTCAAGGATTTTGGTATAGTCACCTAGGCTGGATGCTTGACTTCAATTCTACTAATGAAAGGGTAATATTTATATATAATGCTAGCTTCCTCAAAGTCTCCACATTTTGCATTTCAAATAATGTTAGAGATTTGTTTTATTTAATTAATTTGTGTTAGTGGATACTTTTGTGCAGGGTGAAATGCCAACAAATGTTGGAGATTTGGAGAGTCAATTCTTCTATAAATTCATTCAACGCACCTATATTATACATCCCATTTTACTTGCAACATTGCTATATGTTACCGGCGGATTTCCTTACGTAGTTTGGGGCATGGTATATCTTTTTTTTTTTGTTAATATTTTTTTTTCTTTTCTCATGTCCATTATTGCATATATACTCTCATGACATTAGTCACAATATATTGATAGCTACAAATTGAAATTAAATACTCACAATTGAAGAATGTGCTTAATCTCAACTAACCATTTAAATTAATAGTTGAATTGAACTGTACATTATATATATATATATATATATATATATATATATATATATATATATATATATATATATATATATATATTAATTAATTAAGGTCAACAGTCACTAATATACTATTAACTATATATTATAGGGAGTAAGAGCTGTGTTAACGTACCAAATAACATTTCTTGTGAATTCTGCTTGTCACTTATGGGGAACTCAAGCATGGAATACAGGCGATCTATCTAGAAACAATTGGTTAGTCAAAACATTCACTATCTTCCCATTTAATTACATTTGTTTGTATTGACATATATATTCAGGCCAACTAATCTTCTAATGTTTGGATGTATATATTATTATTATTATTATTATTATTATTATTAGGTTAGTGGCATTGTTAACCTTTGGAGAGGGTTGGCATAACAACCACCATGCCTTTGAGTTTTCAGCTAGACATGGGTTAGAGTGGTGGGAAGTTGACATAACTTGGTATATTGTGTGGATCCTTCAAGCTCTTGGTTTGGCGTCTGATGTTAAGTTGCCCACTCGAGCTCAAAAAAGAAAGATGGCCTTCAACAATAGTTAAGTGCTGAGGACTGAGGATCAATGGCATAATATATTTGTTTAATATGTTTTAATAAATATGAGAATGTTATCATTATATTGTAGCAAGTAGCTCGATGATAAGTATACATACTACACATTTTTTTAAATGTTATTGTTGTTGTTGTTATTATTATTATTATTATTATTATTATTATTATTATTATTATTATTATTATTGTTGTTGTTGTTGTTGTTGTTGTTGTTGTTGTTGTTGTTGTTGATGTTATTCAAGTTAAATAAATTTTGTATTTTGTAATAAGTATTGATCTTGATTCTATATTATGCTATATCACTTGTAGTATTATTGTTATTTAATTACTCTTGTATGTTGTTCTCCACCTTTGCTATGTTCAACTCAATTACCTTCAATTCGCTCATAGCGGGTCTTATATATAGGTTTGTTTAGTATACTTAATGATTAGCTTGCAATGTCACGGTGCAATTGGAGTCCTTAATGAAAGCTCCTACAGAAATCAAGTTGTAGTGAAAATCAGGAACTATAACACATTATGCAGTGTGAATTCATCTGATAAATGCACAAAACCAGTATAGGTGATAGCTACTTCTTTGCCATTTGGCAAACTAACATGCATGTTGCAAGCTTCTTTCTAATAATAGGCTCATATGACATACAATATGGTGAGTGACACCACTATCAATTATCCAGTCACCTAGGTTATGTCTTACAGAGTTAAGGGAAGGAATTGTACCTTCAGTTTGGGATGACAGAAGTTTAGCTGATATGACATTTTCCTGTGGTGACTAATGAAGGGTTGTGTTCAAGCTTTCAACAGGTAACCTTTGTGCTTGCGTGAAATCTAAGAATTTCTTGAAGTCATCTTGTGTAAAAATGGCATACCTCCAATAAAATTTGCATGGTTAACTACCAAGGGCCTTGTGCCTGATTTGCTTGAGCTTGATTTCTTGGTCTTGGCTTCCAACCAGGGGAATAACCATGTTTTTTTATAGCACTTGTCCTGAGTATGCCCTGTGTATCCACAGTATGTGCGCAAGGGGTTCTTGTTTCCTGCTGGGAACCTTTTGTAGGGCTGTTGAGAGCCATCATCTGCTTTGGTGAGGAAGATACTACCACGTGCATTGTTTTCTCCTGATTGTTGTAACTGACTCTCAAATCCAGTGATTTGAAACTGCCTTTCCTGCTGTGCTATCACGGAATATGCTTCACTAACTTCAGGCAAAGGTCTCATGAGCATAATTTGGTTCCTAGCACTAGTGTACTTGTCATGTAGGCCCATCAAAAATATGGATAGCTTATCTTTCTCTAGCTGCTTATTCATCTCATCGATCTTCTTCCCACACTCACACTTGGGATCACAATTGCACCCTTTTGGATGTCTGAGAATCAGCAACTCATCCCACAGTAGCTTTTGCCTAGTAAAATACTCATTTAAGGAATTATCTCCTTGCTTTGTCCTGTATATCTCGCAGTTGATCTCTGCGATTCGAAATAGGTCCTGCTTACTGAATCTTCGCTTCAAATCATTCCAAATCCCGTAGGTAGTGTATATCCATAGTATGTTGCGGTAAATAGAGGGATATATGGATCGAACGATCCAAGAAACCACAATGTTGTTGCATCTCTCCCAAGCCAGGAATTTCTGAGCGTCCATGGGAGGTTTGGTGATAGCGCCATTGACGAAGGCTATCTTATTTTTGCAGGAGATTGCCACTGACATGGCTCTAGCCCATGGATGGAAATTCGAACCATCGAGGGGTTAAGAGACGAGTTCTAGGGCTGGATTTTCATTGATATTAAAGAAATAGGGATTCGAAGGTGTTTCAAGTTGAAATTCTACCTCAGTCGAGTTCGTCGCAGTCGCCGGAGTGGATGAGGAGGGAATTGCATCTCTGACAACTAGATTTCTTGTTGTGTTGTCGATTCCCAACTAGAGTCCACGCTACCATGATTGAACGGTGAGAATCTCCTTAATCAGAGAGCTCTGATACCATGTTGCGGAACTAAAGAGAAAGGTAGAGAAGAAAAAGAAATTGTGAGAAATACAGCATACTCTTTCTACTCCAGCAAAGCGGAATTCTTCCTCGTAACTACTCCAGCATTTGCCCAACTAAACCAGGAGAAAATCCATTCACTTATCGCAATGGAGAAATACAGCATACTCTTTCTAGAAAGTTATCACCCATTGTGAGGGGCGAGGGCGGCCGCAACGCCGTCGGGTTCTGACGACGATGGAGAAGACATGCCGCCACCGCCGCCCCGGGGTCGCCGTCAAGAATGTTGAAATTTTTGGAAGTGGCGCTGGCGTATTGTGTGTGTTATGAAATTATGTAGGTTAAGGGTATCAATCTGTACCTGCAACAAATTAGAAGTTTTGTAACATATAACATATTGTGTGTGTTATGTTATGAATTTATATCTTATGTTGTGAAATTCTGTGACAATAAAAGATCAATTTTCTATTTAAATTAAATTTGAAAATAAATAAATATATAACATGTGTATGTATTTTGTGTTGTGAATTTTTGTGTCTTATGTTATATTGTGGATCGAAATTTTAAATTATACGAAACATTATAGAAAATAAGTGATTCAAATATTATATAATTAAATAATAAACATAATAGGTAAAATACAGCAAATTGAATAAGAGTTAATTCCAGCAATAGTCCCTCGAGTATGATAATTTTCCACAATTAGTCCTTGACTTTTAATTTGGACAATTTAACCATCTGACTATCAAAATCTTTCCGATTTTGGTCCTTCCGTCAAATCCTGGTTAAGTGGGTGTCAAATTGAAGGGTAAAAATGTTCTTTCCCATGCTAAGCGTATATTTCATCTTCTTTTCTGTCTGTGTACGCGTAATAAAATCAAAATCCCTTCGTATACGGTATACTTCCTCCATAGCTCATAATCGGCAGCTTCCTCTTCACTATCTCCGTTCCTTCCATCTTCTTCCTCTACTCCGACGGCAAGACCATGGACCTCCGTCACTTTCCTCCTCCCTCCTCATGCCCTCTCTTCTCCCTCCCTCTTCCTCTTCTCTTTGTCGATGGTTGGTGCAGCAGAGCAGACCGTATACAGAGAGAGGGAGGTAAGAAATCCGCGAAACTTCGGACGCACTTCATCGTATTGGCATTCTCCGCTACTTCTTCTTCAAAAGATGCCTGGAGGAGGACGGCTGAGCCGCCGCCGCCGTCGTCACCGAGAACCACATCGTACTGCCGGAAACAGCAGCCGGTGTTCTTGGACAGCAGCGTCGACATGGAGGAGTTGCTGCTGTGAATAAGCAAGACAAGCAACGAGCACAAGCTTTACGCTTTGTTGGCGCCATACAAAGGTCGAACACTTTCAATGAAGTTCATGGTCACCCTCCTCTTGCGCGAAGCCCACTGGCAACACTCGCTTGCGCTGCTCGACTGGATCAATGAAGAGGCTCTGTACACTCCCTCCGTGTTTGCCTACAATGTCGTGCTGCGTAACGTTCTCCGGGCGAAGCAATGGCAGCTCGCCTATGGGCTGTTTGACGAAATGCGCCAACGGGGCTGTCACCCGATAATAAGTACACTTAGGGTGTGTTTGGAAACTTGGAAAATGAGTTCTGGAAATCATTTTCCAAGTTTCCAGTGTTTGGATGTGCCTGGAAAATCAAGTCAACGGAAATCATTTTCCGTTGACTTTGGAAAATAGGCTTGTTTTGGAGGAAAATGACTTCCCCTTTTTTTTGGGGGAAGTCATTTTCCAACTTTTACACCAACATCACACCACCACCAACATCATCAACACCATACCACCATCACCACCACTATTGCCGCCGCCACCACCACTATACCCCCGCCACCATCACACCACCACCAACACCGCAACCACTACCACTACCACCACCACCACCGTTGCCACCACCACCACCACCATACCACCGCCACCATCGCCGCCGCCACCACCACCACATACCACCGCCACCACACCACCACCTTCACAACACCGCCGCCGCCACCACCACCACCATCACACCAACACCACTACCGCCGCCACCACTACCACCACCATACCACCGCAACCACCGTCGCCGCCACCACTACCACCATACCACCGTCGCCGCCACCACTACCACCATACCACCGTCGCCGCCATCACCACCATACCACCGCAACCACCGCCACCATACCACCGCAACCACCGTCGCCGTCACCACCACCACCACCACTATACCACCGTCGCCGCTTCCACCGCCACCACCACCATACCACCACAACCACCATCGCCGCCACCACTACCACCATACCACCGCCACCACTATCACCACCATACCACCGCAACCACCGCCGCCGCCACCATACCACCGCAACCACCGTCGCTGCCACCACCACCACCGCAACCACACGACCAATGCCACCACCGTCATACTACCACCACCATCACACCAACACCACTATCGTCGCCGCCGCCGCCACCACCATACTACCGCAACCACCGTCGCCGCTGCCACCACCGCAACCACCGCCACCACCATTAAACCGCCGCTGCCGCCACCACCACGACCATACCACCGCAACCACCATCGTCGCCACCACCGTCATACCACCACCAATTATTATTATTATTATTATTATTATTATTATTATTATTATTATTATTATTATTATTATTATTATTATTATATAACGAATAACACCACCACCACCACCATAATATTTTTGATATATTATTAGTTTTTTTTTTTGAAAAACTTAGCTATTTTTTATTATATTTAAAATTAATATTATATTATTATATATTATTATACATGTTGTAATATTCTAAATAAAATAATTAAAATGTTTAATTATACAATTCTACTCATTTTCCAGAAAATGAACCAAACACAGAAAAACAGTTTTCCATAATGCAACCAAACACTGGAAAGGAAAATGTTTTTCGGAAAATGACTCATTTTCCAGAAAACATTTTCCAGAAGTCATTTACCTGCTTTCCAAACGGACCCTTAATCCACTCTGATTACCCATTTTGGGAGAGAGGGCCTGTTTGACGATGCTCTATCTTGGCTTCAGAAGATGGAGCAGGACCATGTGTTAAGTGATATCGTTTTGTATAGTAATCTGATCGAGCTTTCACGTAAATTATGCGATTATTCCAAGGTAGTAGCATTTAGTATATGGTGGTGGTCGACGGTAATGGTCTGCTCTGCTGCATCGACCGTTGACGAAGAGAAGACGGAAGAGGGAGGGAGAAGAGAGGGCGTGAGGAGGGGGGAGGAAAGTGATGGAGATCCATGGTCTTGCCATCGGAGTAGAGGAAGAAGATGGAAGGAACGGAAATAGTGAAGAGGAAGCTGCCGGTTATGAGCTATGGAGGAAGAACAGTATACTGTATAATGAGGGATTTTGATTTTATTTTGCGTACACAGACGGAAATGGAGATAAAATATACGCTTAGCATGGGAAATGACATTTTTACCCTTCAAAATGACATCCACTTAACCAGGATTTGACGGAAGGACTACAATTGGAAAGATTTTGATAGTCAGGTGATTAAATTATCCAAATTAAAAGTCAAGTACCAATTTTGAAAAATCACCATAGTCGGGGGACTATTGTTGGAATTAACTCAATTGAATAATTCAGATCTCTTTCCTACTATAATAAATTACAAAAATGGATTACAAGAATTTGATTGTTCAAATATTATTATGTAAAACCAAATGACACATGGGGATATAGCTCAGATGGTAGAGCGCTCGCTTAGCATGCGAGCGGTACGGGGATTGATACCTTGCATCTCCAACAGGCATCTCCAATGTTTTGATCCCTGCGTTCATTAAGTATCTAAAGGAGCAACAATTAGTAGAAGAAACTATCAAATCATCTTCAAGAAAATCATGTTTTGCGCCTCTCGACTTTGCAGCGTGAATTGCAAATAAAGTAGAAGCTTAATAAATATGAAAAATACTTATGTGTGTGTTTTCGCCAAAAGTTTTTTTTTTTTTTCTTTTAAATAGCCAAATGATTTTTTTTTTTTTAATTCAATTACTTGTAAGTTGTTAATATTTTATTATTTAAATTTAAAATACTAATAATAAGAATTAATTCCATTTTTTGTCCTAGATTTATAAGTGACAATCCACTTTTAGTCTTCTTTTTTTTTTTTTTTTTTTTTTTTTTTTTTTTTTTTTAATTGGAATATCCTCATTTAGTCCTAGTATTATTGTGCCATGACCATTTTTAATCCTCCTTCAACAAAATATTTGAAATGTCATTAAATACAAAGACATTTCAATCATTTTTATACAAAGTAGTTTAAATCACTATATTTTTATATGTCCTTGTATTTAACAATATTTAGACTGCTTTATTGATAGAGGATCAAAAATGATCATGCCACAATTATACTAGGACCAAAAGTGGATGTTATAATAAAAAAAATATTTAGTGGATTGTCGGCAATAAATCTAGGACCAAAAATGAAATTAACTCTAATAATAATAAAGGCAAAGAGTGTTCGAACAGAATAGAGAAATGATTTAATTTTCAAACACATCCTTGTCTTTACAATTAAAATCATCACTTTTATTTACACAATCAACAATCATCACTTTTATTTACAAAGCAAAGCAGCGGCGACGAAGTTGAAGCAAATCACAACTGCTCACTTTCAAATCAAAGAGGCACCAAAACCTATCGACACAGTGAAAGCAAAAAAGATGAATCCATGGGGGAGACACACTCAGAACATACTGTACCTATCATCGTCATCACTCGTTTGAATGAAACAAATAATTGCTAGCACGAAAACGAGAAAAGATGAGAGTTCCATTGCCATGGCTCCCCAACCAATTATACCGGAATGCTTTAAAATAACTGGTATTGCAATGCTTCCAACTGTTGAAACCCCGGTTAAGAACTTTGCCGCATCAATCCAACTGTAAAGGCAATGCTAACAAATTATCTAAATATGATCGTTTTTTCATTAAAACTGCGCTAGAATGAAAGATTCTTACCCATTAGAAGACTCTGAAAAGATAGATGAAGTATCGGATGCAGCAAAGAAAAGCAAAGGCATTGGTAGCAAAACATACATTATTACTGAAAAAATCAAAGTTAAAAACTAATTAAGATATTACACAGATAATAAACTATTTTTGTACCTTAAATATTAGGAATATAAAATGTTCAAAACATTGAATAAATTCTTCTCGTAGAGGAGACTCTAGTCTTGCATTTCACAGTAGAAAAGGAGGTATCTTTTCAATGAACCAATAAAATATAGAGGCCAGGTCATACGAAGGTAAGGCAGCCAAAATGGTTATTGATGCTTTATTCCAAGAAAAATGAGATGAAGGGAAGGTATGCGGAGGCCAAAGAAAATAGTAATAGGCAGCTCATGAAAAGTGACTAAGTGAGGACACAACTTTTGACTATTCAACCCAGTTTCACTACTACAAACATGATTGAATGGCAAACAGATAAATTTGGCTTCTCCAATTGGCTAACAATGGACATACAATATCATTAGCACCTGATACTTTTATCCTGAAATTCTCATAGACTTACATGTGATAAGTACAAGGAATGAGATAATCACATTTAGCCATGATCATGCTTATAAATCTACAGATCCTAGTAACCAAAACCAGATGCATACATCACCTTTTTTTTGGTGTAATGGAGAGGATACCCGTTATCAAATTTCAAGATGATCAAATGAAGGCTAGAGCCCAAGACCTTGTGGTCAAGGAGCACCAGTCTTTCTCCCCCTTTCCTCCGGAGACAACTGTCTCCGAAGGATAATCTTCTCTCCCCTCCTACCATGTTTCTCCCCTTTCTCCCCTTTAATCTCCACCATTGGAGATGCCCTTATATAAAGGGGATTTTCATTCTAATAAAGAGGAGAAGCAAACAAGAAGTTAAGATAAAATAAGAGGTGGGAAACCTCTCAAAACATTCCTAGTATCTTGTTCTTCAATTAAAATCAGCTTTTGTCTTTCCTCTCATTCATTTAGTTCATCATTCAACATAGGCAACCTGCAGACGACCTCCAATAAACCTAATCACCCTGTGACGGGTGCGTTTGCCTGAGTACATAATATTTTGATTCCGTTGCCGTTGGAGAGATTGGCTACAGTCCCAGAAGGCAATTCCACGGTCGAAGTAAGGTGCTCAAACTTTTGGATGGATGTTTGAATGGCCCATACATCGTCTTGTAGTTTTTTGATATCGTCCATGTTGACACCCGTCAAAGGAACCAAAGTGTTACGTACTTGAGCAAAGGCAAGCTTTATTGGAAGTCGTCTGCGGGTTGCCTATGGTAATAGATGAACTAAATGAATGAGAGGAAAGACAAAATATGACTTTAATTGGAGAACAAGATACTAGAAATGTTTTTGAGAGTTTTTCCACCTCTTATTTTATTTTAACTTCTTGCTTGTTTGCCCTCTTTATTAGAATGAAAATCTCCTTTATATGTGAGGGTTACAAAGACTAAGTAAAACATTAAAGGAAAGGAGAATCATTAAGGTTCCTTGCAATAATTATTCACTATCTATAAAAAGGAAATAAATCAACTCAAATAACAAAGATATTTTAGAATCAATTAATCAATCTCTTGATTTTCTGAATCATAACAGGATATAAGAGGTACAAAAGTCAGATATATGCACTTTACTAAATTATATATTCATGATTTCCAAGTAAAATATATAAGGAAACAAAGATAATTATTGACAATTTTTATCATTTATTCTTTCCAAAAGGTTGAACCCCAAACCTAAGGGCCCCACACCCCGGCCTGGCAGAGCATCTAGGAGGATGTAAATCATGGTAACTCAACTGAACATGAACCACATAGGCTAGACCTTTGCTTACTGCGCACAAGGAGCCCCCCTCACTTTGAGAGGTTGCTCACACACTGCCGCCGGTGAGACTCGATCCCTGGTCATTCTTATTTTTATCATTTATTACTTCAAGTGCAGATAATTATTGAAGCATCAACTATATATAATTCATTAGTTTTGTAATTAAGCTCCATCAACGTGCTATTCAACCTACCTGTTAGCATTGGCCACCAGTTATTATACAGAGCACAAGCCTGACACAAGATAAAAGACAGCTTAGAGAAATGACTAATGAAAAATGTTGCACATGGCATTCATAATCAACTTAAAATTCTCTGTTTATAAAATTTCCTTTCTTTTTTAAACCAAAAAAAAAAAAAATACAGGAAATTTGTAAAAGTTGGAGTCACCAGTATTTGCAACACAATCCCCCTGAAACTAGGATAGCCAAGGCCGCAAGCTTCCCAGACTGCAAGCAGGCTTTCAGATAACCTGGCACATCTGCCATGATGAACAAGCTCAGCTCGTAAAAGAGGCTGGCTGAGACAAAGAACTTTTCAGCTAAACTTCTCAATGAGGAAAAGGAAAAAAAAAAAAAAAAAAAAAAAAAAAAGGAAGAGAACAATTAAGTTAATTCGAGAAGAAGAAATAGCAAGCATGCAGAGCTGAAAAGCGGATAGATAACATAAACATAGAATTCATTCGATTCCAAAGTACTTTCTTCCTTTCATATTACAGTTCTTGTCAGAGCATGATTAAGAAATTTGATGGGCTCCAGAACAGTACATTTGGTATAATTCCGCCACTTTTAGATGATCATATTTCGTAGATATATAATCATAGTTGAAAACAGATGTGTTGAGAATAAATATTAAATTATAATGTGTGCGCAAATGCACTTATTAGTGAAAAATCCAGTGGGGATCAGCTGGTTGCACTAAGGAATTTCCCCTGGGCTCATCTATGAATTCCTCCAAAGAGAAACTATTGACAATGCATCTATTTCTCTGCAGGCTTCAGCATGGGAAATGAACGATTAACAAGCCATATGACCCAAAATCCCCAATTCTATTCTGCTTAATCACCCTTTCAAAGCCACTTATATGAAACCCAAAGTCATATGATTCTCAGCTCTTAAGCATGTTGGAAATTGAGCAAAAGGTTTGTAAGCTCCTCAAGAATATAGCAAATACTATATTTAGATTGAATATCAACATATAAATACTGAGATTTTAAATGCAATAATCACCATTTTAACTTGATGTTCTACTGATTAGGGCAAGAAAACAGTAGCAAGGCAGTAACCAATAACATCAACTGTCAAAATCGAATCATAATTCATAGGACGGACTCAATATAAAACAATATCCTACTTACCCAGAAATAAAATCACGAAATCTCCTCCCATCTTTCTTGTTTTCTAAGTATTCTTTTACTTTATTTTATTCAATATTTAATCAATATATATTCTTCAAAAGCAAGAAACTTTCAATTTCTAAGATACAGCAACACCCTACAAATTTTAAAATAAAATGGAAAATTATTCCACCCAATCAATTACTTTAGCATTCAAGATTCATACAGAAGATAGATAATAGAATAGATCAGAAAATCAGAAAATCAGAAAATCATTGTCATGAGTACCAGCAAGAAGAAGGATTGCAGTCCTGCGGCGCCGCGATTTCCGATTATTCTCTTGTGGGTAAACAGGAATGATAGGAGTTAATTAATGAAGTACGAAGTAATAATATTGTAAAATAACAATGAAATTAACGGAGAACAAAATATTACAAAATAGTACAGAGAATTTCTTTATATTTGCTTAAGTGTCCCCCAACTCTTTACCTATTCTCGGTTTTACACTTTTGTAGTAGTTTGTATTAATTATTCCTTCTTTTTTTGGGACAAGGAAATCCACAATTACCTGATATGTAAACTAGGTATTTAGGTAAAGTATAAAAGAAAAAGGTAAATTCAATTTAATTCTCAACTTTAATAATTTTTATTGATTTAATCTTAAATTTTTCTTTTTACTTAATTGGTCATGAACTTTGATGGTTTTATCTAATTGAGTCATTAACGGTTAGAATCGATGACAAAATTGAGAAAAATTAGTATAATTGATTACTAAATCGAGTATATAATCACTATAGTCAATGACTAAATTGGGTAAAATTACTATAGTCGGTGATTAAGGGTGTGATTGGTTCATGAGTTTACACACTATGAATGAAAGTCAAAATCATAGTTAGTGTAGTGCTTTTATATTATTGTTTTTATTTTTTATTTTTATTTTTGTTCATATTGGTGTTTTGGATGTCATTATATAGGATCAATTAACTTGATTTTTTATTTTTGTATTTTTAAAACTTTTATTCTCATTATAGGGTCATACATAACCAAACATCAATATTGATAATCATTCCAATTCCACCATACTACCAAACATGCAAAATACTTTTCACCAAAATCTATTACCATTACCAAGTATTTGATTTCCCATTCCGATTCTAATTCTCATGTGCGAACCAAACACACCCAAAATTTGATATTAATAGAGGAGAAATTACCAAGTTATCCTAACTGAAGAATCAATTAGGTCAAACCATCAAAGTTCAGGGCCCAATTAAATACAAAACAACGATTAGGATTAATTTTTTTTTTTGTTTAAAAAAAAATCATTATAGACAATGACTAAATTATGTATTAACTCATCAAAAGATAATACATTAATGATGTGAAAAAAAAATCTTATATATGAAAATATATAATTTGTTTGTACTCCATATATTTTATTTGATCAAGTGGAATGTGACTGTATGAGTATTAAGTGTAAATACGTGACAGAGTAATGGTGGTAGCACCCGATTCGGGTTGTCAACAACACCTGACCCGGCACCACGTGGAAACCCAACGGGCAGAATTTCAACGGACAGAATACCAACGGTGGAGACGTTACTACGGGACATTTACTGCACCGCCATTGAAGAGAGAGGAATGAATGCTCAGCTCCTCATTAGGCCTCATTATGATGTTACCGTTAGGGACTTGATATAAGTAGAACCTCTCCTCAGCTAGAAGGGACACGCTGATTATTTTGTACTGAAACACTTAACAATACAACAATTCATTATTCTCAGATTATATTTCCAGTAACATACTTACCGTCAATATGAAATCTAAATCTAAAAATAATAAGAGTATTAAGTGTAAAATAGTAAATATAAAATCTAAATCTAAAAACATAATAAGTATCAATTTATGTTAAATTTTTTTATTTATATCCATTTTTTTGTTATTTTTATACATTATACTATAAGAGTTGTATTATACAGTTTTTGTACAAAAATATCTTTACGATTATAACTTCTGTTATCTTTTCTCATTATTATTATTATCATGCACATGCATACATAATATCTATTCTTTTATTCTTCAATGGTAATAATGTATGTAGACATTTTTTTTTGAAAGCAAACCGCTAGAATATATTAATGCAAAAGAGTTGTTAGAAGCTAAAGTATGAGCAATCACATTTGACTGTCTAGGAACTAAATATAAAGGGCATGAAATAAATAAAGCATTAAACATAAACAATCATAATCGCGATCGCAGCATATGATCTCGGTTTGGTAACCGAAGTAGTAATGTAGCGGTGTAGGACAGAGCAATCAGTGTGTAAAGCTACCGTAGAAACACTACGATCCTTCAACCACGATAGGGTCTCTTTGCATGCTAGTGCTTCCGTCATAAATGGATTTGCGCAATATGGGAGTTTGCCATTAGATGCCGCAAGGAATTGGCCCTCTAATGAAAGGAGGACAATGTTGTACGCTGTTGTTCCGCCTGCCACCGAGCAACTTGCGTTGAAGTAACACTGCAATGACGCGGCTTGAGGCAGAGGCTGCTACCGAGGAACTGCCGCTTGGTGACCATCCACTCCACATTCCCAAGCCGAGAAAGCAGCAGCAGCACTCCTCCACACTTTGGCCGGCTGCTGCAAACAAAAATTCCACACGGCCCCGTTACGCGCCAACCATATATGATAAAGAGTTGCCACAACCTTCACAACAATTGTAGGGGTTAACACGGACATGACATTTTGGAACCATTCTGAAAAATTACCACCAAACACAAGAGAGATAGGGAGATGGGATTCATGCCAAACAAGTTTGGCAAATTCACACTCCACAAATGATTTCATATTGTCTTCATGATAAGAGGCATACATGGAGCATGAGGGGTTCACATCAACTATCCTTATAAGTAGATTAGTAGTGGTTGGGAAAATACCACTAATAGCTCTCCATAAGAATGTCTTCCATTTTGGGGGCACTTTAATCTTCCACATAGAATTCCAATTGGTAAAAGCATTAGGGGATGCATCAATTTCACCCCTAAGGTTGCGCTCCTATAACCACTTTTCACAGAGTAGCAACCACTGGGGTCCTTAAATGAATACCATGAGCCTTCATAGGATGGGCACACCGGAACTCTCAAAATACGGTTCACATCACTAGGAATAAAAATGTCCCTAAGAACATCCAAATTCCAAGTGTTAGTATTCCCATTTAATAGGCTTGGAACTTTAGATCCTTCAAGGTGTTGGGGCATAGTAGTGTGAATTATGGGATCAGAGTCATCCAAAAGCCAGGGGTGGCCCCAGATCAATGTAGACTCACCATTACCAATCATTCTCCTCACACCATTACAAACTAAATCATGAACAGCGCGCCATAATACTTCTCCAACAATAACTGGGGTTACTTCCCACTACAACATCAATAAAAGAGGTTCTAGGGAAGTACCTTGCCTTATATACCTTGGCAGCAATATATTAGGGCTTTGTGAGAAAGCGCCAAGCTTCCTTACCTAACATAGCCAGATTAAATGCCCGAAGCTCCATGAAACCCAAACCACCAACTGATCTTGGTTTGCACAACCGATCCCATGTCATCCAATGAATACCACTTCCAGAGGCACCCTTTTACCCCACCAGTAGCGATTCATGCATGGTCCTTTCCAGAGCTACACATAACGAGTCAGCTAGCAAAAAAAACTCATAGTAAAAGTAGGCATTGCCTGAGCTACACTTTTAAGGAGGATTTCCTCCTGAGACAACAATTTTTTATTCCATGAACCAATTCGCTGCTTTATCTTTTCCTCAATGTATGAGAAAAGTAGCTTCTTATTTCTCCCAACAAACGAATGAAGGCCCAGGTATTTGCTGAAATTAGGAGCTTGATTAACCCCCAAAAGAGCAACCACAGCTTCCCTAACATCAACCCCAGTATTCTTACTAAAACAAACACTTACTTATGATAATTTACCGTTTGGCCTGAAAGCCTCTCGTAAGCCTACAGACACTGTTTCACCACCTCTGCTTCCTGCACATTAGCTTTAAAGAATAGTAGGTTATCATCATCAAAAAATATGTGAGAGATAGCTAGGGCTCCCCTGGCCACCCTACAACCATGAATGGAGCCCTGAACTTGAGCCTTCTGGAGCAAAAGAGATAATCCTTCAGCACAGATAATCAAGAAATATGGGGAAAGGGGATCCCCTGTCACAGCCCCCTAGTTGGTATTACCTTACCCCCCTTGACTCCATTCACCCGAATGTTATAGGAGACAGTCGTAACACACAACATAATCAGCTCTACCCATCTAGCATGAAAACCCAAGGCCAGTAACATACCACGCTGGAACGACCACTCCAACTTATCATAAGCCTTTGTCATATCTAATTCCAGAGCCCCCCAACCAGTAGACATTATATATTAGAATAATATAAGATATAAGTTTGATTTTATTTAGATTATAATTAAATGTTACCATAATTATATTTAGTAATTATATTTATCATATCTAAAATTCCTACTTTAATAATATTAAGTATACCATAATTATTACTCAAATTATCAACTATACATTTAATATAATATGAATGAGTTAATTATCAACTATACTTTAATATAACAAAAAAATTTAAATATCATTAAATACAAAGACATTTCGGTCTTCAATTATGGATTTTTCAAACAAAATAAGCATAAAAAATATAGCGATTCAACATACTTTGTATAAAAAGATTGGATTTTCTTTGTATTTAATGACATTTCAACGATTTTGTTGAGGGGAGACTAGAATTGGTCATGCCACAATAATACTAGGACTAAATAATTAAGGATATTCTAATAAAAAATGACTAAAACTGGACTGTCACCTATAAATCTAGGACCAAAATTGAAATTAACTCTAATATGAATTCAAAAATTATGAATTTAAAAATAAAATTATATACTATTATTTTAATAAAATATTTTAATATAATTAAGATTTTAATATTAAGTATGGATATTAAACATATATTTTTACGCATGACACATATAAAATACTAAGTTAGTATAAGAATAAATGTAAATATATAAATATGTATGTTATTTTAAGAAAGCAACATTCAATACATCTATATTGATGTTTTGAACAAGAGTTATTACTATCTAAGGTCCTCTGAGTATAGTGATTTTGCCACTTTTAGTCTTAAATTTTCAAATTGACCATTTGTGGTCCTTCGACTTTCAAATTTAACCATTCATGGTCCAAGTTAACCACTCATGGTCCTCCAACTTTCAAAATTTAACCACCTATAGTCCTTTCAAGAGGACCACGAGTGGTTAAATTTTGAAAGTTGAAGGACCATGGGTGGTTAACTTGGACCACGAATGGTTAAATTGGAAAGTCGAAGGACCACAAATGGTCAATTTGAAAGTTTAGGATTAAACGTGGCAAAACCACTATACTCGGAGGATCCCATGTGACATTAACTCTTTTGAACAACTATGACATCATATCCGAAACAAACGAAAGCGCGCGCGCGCACACACACACACACACACACACACACACACACACACACACACACACACACACACACACACACACACACACACACACACACACACACACACACACACACACACACACACACACACACACACACACACACACACACACACACACACACACACACATATATATATATATATATATATATATATATATATATATATATATAGTCCAGTTGCGACCATGCGAATTGAAGGAATGCACGATAAGTATTGAATGCATAGTAAGTACTACATAAATGCACAACAACTACTCCAGCTCCGTTACTACTACATGAATGCACCACACTTACTACAAGAATGCACTAAATCTACTACATGAATGCACTAAAAACACTCGCGTGCATTTTTTAGGCATGCCTGAAAGTAGTTATTGTGCATTCATGTAGAATTTACGAACTGTGCATTCCTTCAGAAGTTCGCAGACTTGCATGGGAACGCTGGTTCGCATTTGAACGCAATTTTATATATGTGTGTGTGTGTGTGTCATTATCATAATAATCGCTAAATTTACCATGCAACTGTTAACACTATGCTTTGCACTTGTCATGATTTTTTAGAAATGCACATTACCTTTTTAAAAAGTGCACGGTAAAGCATTAAAAAGTGTGTGCTTAGTAATAAAAATTGCAGTTTACAAAATGCAAAAGTGTAATGCACTTAGGGTTTGAATTATAGAGTTTATGACTGAGGGTTTTGGTTTTATTTGGTTTAGAGATTCACTATTCACGTTTTAGGGTTTAACATTGACGATTTAGGTTTAAAATTTAGTTTTTTCGTCGATATTTTTAAAAGTTATCAAAAAATGAACACTATCTTGTTAAAAATTGCACAATATGTGATGGTATTATTGTAATTATTACTAACTTTACCATGCAAATTTTAAAAATATTATATTGTGTTTATATATATATATATATATATATATATATATATATATATATATATATATATATATATATATATATAAACACAATATAATATTTTTAAAATTTGCATGGTAAAGTTAGTAATAATTACAATAATATCACTGCTTTTAAATTTTTTTAATTTGATCTGATTCATTCGATTTTTACAGATGTAAGGCTGGGATTGGTTATTGATTTTCTCATGTGGTTGTGTTCTCATGGGAAACTAATCATATATATATTGGATCACATGGGAACAAAGTCGTAACTCGTAAGAGAAAATTAAACTAAAAACCAATCTCAGGCTTACATCTGAAAAAATTAGACGGATCAGATCAGGTTTAAAAAAATGCGGTGGCATTTCGTAATTATTATCAACTTTACTATGCAAACTTAAACACTAAAATCTGCACTTGTCAGAATTTTCCAGTTTGCATATTGAGTATTAACATTTTGCACATGTAAAAGATTGCACTTGCAAAAATGCGAAAGTGCATTTCACTTAAGGTTTCGAATTTAGAGTTCATGACTGAGTTTTTGATTTTATTTGGTTTAGTGGTTCACTTTTTATTGCTTAGGTTCTAGCATTTAGGGTTTAGATTTAAAATTTAGCTTTTTCATTGATTTTTAAAAATTTATCTAGGGTTGCATATTTAGTTGTTACATATTGCATATTTAAGAGTTCAAGTTTGCAAAGTGAAGTTGATGATACCTACGAAAATGCCACAACATTTGTTTTTAAAAATTTGATCTAATCCATCCGATTTTTACATATGTAAGGTTGCGCTAAGATTGGTTCTTAGTTATATATATATATATATATATATATATATATATATATATATATATATATATATATATATAGAGAGAGAGAGAGAGAGAGAGAGAGAGGGAGAAAGTTGTGTTCAGGTGCGAATGTCGCGCCCAGTAGTGAAAATGCGAACCAATCACCACGCGCCACGTGTCCAGATCTAGGTGAAAGTAGGTGCACTTATAGATGAAAGTAGATGCATTTGTAGGTAAAAGTAGGTGCACCTGATCAATGAGTGATACCAGGGCAAAATTACATGCAGTTGTAGGTGAAAGTAGCTGCACTTGAAAGTGAAAATAGAGACAAAAATTACATGCACTTGCAGGCGAAAGTAGGTGCACTTATAGGTGAAAGTAGATGCACCCAATCAATGAATGCTGACACGTGGCGCGCGCTGATTGACTCACATTTTGCACCTGGGCGGACATTCGCACGAGATCGCCCCTATATATATATATATATATATATATATATATATATATATATATATATATATAGTTGTAAATAAATGCATGTGTTTAGAACTTAATTACTTATTAGCCCATTGTTATTGATTTTGTCTAGTATGGGACTCGTGTGTAGTGCCATTATATAATACAGATAGTATTTGGGAGAAGGGAGAGGAGATTGTATGTGTACTTAGTCCTTGTTTAGTATTTAATATAGGAGTATGTTGACTATTTTGTTGATTCTTTATATGTTTTGGTTCATCACTATCAATGTTTTCAATATTGTTATCTTAGTATTAGTTATTGTGGTCTAATGTTTATGTTATTTTATATTGTGGTCCCTAAGTCCTTTTTATATTATTTAAGATGTTTTTTGAAGCATAGTTAAAAATGCACCTCATGGGATACTTTTGAAAAAAAAAAAAAAACAAAAATCTAAGGCTAACTTGCATGTAATATAGAAGTCATTGAAATGGATTCCAAATATGATTTCATGTTGGGTTATAATATATATATATATATATATATATATATATATATATATATATATGATAGCAAGGATAAAGATAATAATTGTAACAATAATTGCTCATAAAAATAATATGTTTGATTTACCTTCACAAAAAATATAAAAATGTTTTGGAGGGAAAATTTTGTGGCCTTGGATTTTGCTTTATTATATAAAGATTTTTAAATATTTATCAATTTTTTTAATTAAGAGTATGAGTTTTGGCAAATTAAAATAAAATTTTCATAACAAGCAAGTAAGCAACTTAGGTAGCAATTAATGTGTATAATTATAACAATAATCACAATTTTATAACAAAAAGTGTACATATTTTCATATTATACAACTATAATATATGTTTACATAAAGTGATAGAAAGAGACATTGATATATACATAATATAATGGTCGCAAAAATCCCGCCTAAGACAGTAATAGAAAGAGACATTGATATATACATATATACACACATATACACGCATACATACATACACACACATACGCACGCGCGCACGCGCACACACGAAATCAATGGTGTATAATTGTAGCACTAATCACAATTCTATAAGAAAAAATATACATATTTTCATACCGTACAAACTACTAGAAATATAATATATGTCTACATAACTGCAGACAACTTTCATTAGAAAATTGATAGAAAAATATCTAAAAATATCTTAATAAAATATTAATGTGCATAAAAATCTGTAGTCTATAAGAAATGAATAACTTACAATTATTTGTAAAATAATATTCACGATTTTATTTACAGTAAAACAGAAAATGATGACACAATTTGAAAAGGGATTACACGTTTTAAAAGTTAAAACTTCCTGAATTGAGTTTTATAATATAAAAAATTATTACATTGTTAAATTGATGGGATAATAATTGGATACACACCATTATGGCAATACTGTTCACCCTTATCCTCAAATTCACCATCATTAAAAAAGCACAAATCACTGAATGAAGACAGATTGTCACTGTCTATATTCATTTTCTCGATTGTCATTGTCTATATTTATTTGGACGAAAAGTAGTTGTCCTTCCATAAGAAGAAAAATCAAATTTATCTACGGGATCAATTTTTGTCAAGAAATATAAACAAAAACAAAAATTATTGAATGAAGGTACCTTTCTTACTACAATAAGCTAAGGGGTTGGTAATTATTGTTCCTGATTTGTTTTGTCTTGGATATATATGTGTGTGTATTTATTGTAATCTAACCAAACCAAAGGAAAGGCTCAGAAAAGAAAATGGCATGCATATCAGTGTGGGCGTCACCAGCACCTAAATCATTTTCGTTTTCACGACAAACCTTCCCTTTACTTAGGCAAACGCAAAGCTCAACTCTTGGAAGTTGCAGCATTTACACAAGAAAACTAGGAGAAAATCTATTGAATAAATGCAAGGGGAGAAGATACCTATATACTACTTCAAAAAGGTTATCACCCTGCATTGTAAGGTTGGCGGCAATGGCCGGTGAAATGCGGGCTTTTGATGACACACAGACACCACAAGAAGGAGCAAAGCAGGAGAGGGTTGGGTTTTGGACAAGAATGGGGAAATCTTTGGAAGTGGTGCCTGGTTCCCCGGGGTTCATGGCGATGATTCCTTTGACTCATTTGCTGTGTCTGTTTGCCCCATTTTGTTTCAGTTGGGATGCTGTTGGCCTTGCACTTGGGTTGTACATCATCAGTGGGCTGGGTGTTACTCTCTCTTATCATAGGAATCTGAGTCACCGGAGTTACAAGCTTCCCAAATGGCTTGAGTACTTTTTTGCCTATTGTGGTGTTCATGCTTTTCAGGTCTATATAATTGAAATATCATTATATATATCATGTCTTTAAGTAGCAATAGGTAAAATATGAATATGGTGATATACTAAAACACTGCTTTATTAGCCCCACCTTAGACAAATTCTTATGCGAGAGACGATGGTCTCACGGGTCTCAATCTGTGACATATGTGGAATTAGGAGAATATGGATCTTAGGGTATATGGGTTATATTAGTAATATTATTTTTGAAATTTTTTTTATTACAACTTTACTATAGAGTATTACATCTATAATATAAAGTACAATATTATATATATATAAAGCTTTAAAGTATTGATTATATCCGCAATCTTGCTATGCAATGACACTTTATTTAGTGTAAATTATCTATTATAGTTTTCCAATAAAAGTACTACGTTTATGTAATAAATTACGGAGTATTATATATGAAGCTTAAAGTATTAATGATATCTAAAATTATGTTATGTTATTACTTTAATTTATTCCCTGCAAAATGTGTATTACATTTATGCTATAAAATATTCAATTGTTATACCATAGACCAATGTTCACTACTTTGCATTGTGATTCTAGTCCAAAAACTATATGTTCGAAATTAACATATTTTGTGTCTTTAGTTAATAAATTATGTGTCGTAAATAAATTGAAGGCACATAATATGTTATTAACTACAGACACATAATATATAAATTGCATATTATGTGTTTCCAGTTAACATATTATGTGCATTCAATTTATTATTAACCCCACACTGAGGCTCGAACTCATAACCTTCCAAATGGAAGTCCAACCCGGATACCATTAGACCACATAGTCCATGGTATGATTTGCTTAAAATATTATATATAAGGCTTAAAATATTAATTATATTTGCAATTTTGTTATGCAACATTATTAATTTATTTCTTGCTAACTGTGTATTACAATTTTATTATAAAGTACTACATTTATTCTATAAAGTATAATTATATATGCAAATGCAAATTCTGCTATATTATTTCTTTATTTCCTGTAAATTTTCTATTAGAGTTTTACTATAAAGTGCTATATTTATGCTATAAAGTATTATATATAAAATTTAAAGTAATGATTATATATGCAATTATGTTATAACCCATTTTTATTGGAACTTACATGTCTTACGAATTAAGACCCGTAAAACAGTCTTACATGTTACCAACACTTTGCCTTTAACATAAATTACAAAATCAATGAATGCTCCTTTTCACCTTTATATAACATAGCTTTTATGCTACTTTATCATTTGGTTAATAGGGAGATCCAATTGGATGGGTGAGTAACCATAGATATCACCATCAGTATGTGGATACTAAGAAAGATCTTCACAGCCCCATTGAAGGATTTTGGTACAGTCACGTAGGTTGGATATATGACACCAAATCCGCTAATGAAAGGGTAATATTTATAATACTCAAATTAAATAATTCTCTTATTACATTTTTGGCATTTCATATGTTAGAGAATTATTGTTTGATTTGTTTTAATTAATTCATATTTTTGTGTAGAGTGAAAGGCCGACAAATGTAGCAGACTTGGAGAATCAATTCTTCTACAAGTTCATTCATAATACCTATGTTATTCACCATATTATACTTGCGACATTGCTGTATGCCATTGGCGGATTTCCATACATAGTTTGGGGCATGGTATGCTTTTTCGCTCCTTGTTTATTTTCATCTCTGCTCCTTGTTTATTTTCATCTTTGCTGGTTCTGATGAATTTGGTACTTATTGTACATTTTCCTATATGTATGTATTTATAATATAATATAAAAGTGTTTTTCTATTTAGAATATTTAAAATAAGTACAATTAGGTAACTTAATTTAATATTTAATATTTAACTAATGAAATATTATATCGTGTAATGACAATTATTGTCCAAAAATATTAAAGTATGTACTATATTTCAACATAACATACAACTCCATAAATACAAAAAAATAAGGACATCATTGAGCAGTATAACTTGGATTGGGTCTTATTAGTTATCTTAGGTAAATTATGATAATAAGTAATTAACGACAAATTATGCTGTGCATCCGTATGCACCATGCATGGTGCATACGGATGCAAAAACGACGTCGTTTTATTAAAAAGGCGCGTCTCCCCTTAAAAAAAATAATAATTCAGGTTTGATTCCCAACAACAACATATGAACTAAAATTCCAGAATTGATGAACTATGATTCCATAATCGATGAACTATAATTCCAGAATGTATGAACTAAAATTCCAGAATCTAATCTATGAACTAAAAATTTCAGAATCTATGAACTAAAATTTCAGAATCTATGAACTAAAATTTCAGAATCGATGAAATACAATTCCAGAATCGATGAACTATAATTCCAGAATCAATGAACTAAAATTCCATAATCTATGAACTAAAATTTCAGAATAAATGAACAACATAATGCTGTTGCTGGGAATCGAACCTGATTTTTTTTTTTTTTTTAAGGGGAGACGCGCGTTTTTAATAAAACGACGTCGTTTTTGCATCCGTATACACCATGCATAGTGCATACGGATGCACAGCATAACTACTCGTAATTAACTACCAGTAAATATAAAGATATATTATTTGATGTATGATGTTACCAATTAGGAAAGGGGAATCATTTGTGCTTACACTTTTAATTTATTTATATTTATACCAAAATTATATGTTTGAAAAGTGGAAAGGGAACCAAACAGTATAAAGGTGCACCATATTCTTAATAAAGTATGCAAGTGAAATTTTTGTCCTTGAATACATTTAAGATATGTTTCATAATTTTTTTGTTATTAATTCATATAATAATAGGTTAATTACTTAAAACATTTAAACACGTATAATTAGTTTTTTTTTTTTATTACAAAAGAAGGGGGATACCCATACAAACTACGCCTACACTAAAGCTCAAAACCTAGACCTCCCACATAGGGGAGTAATCCGATACCAGTGAACCACAAGCCACCAATCACGTATAATTAGTTAATTGATTAATTCAAATGATTTCCCATTTAATTTGTTTTAAATGATAACCGTAAAATTCTAATTTTAAAATTTGAAATCTTATTGTTTTCTTGAATTTGATAATACTAATAGTCTACCTAAAGCTTATGTATTGTTTGAATTGCTAAGCCTCAATTTCTAGATATTTTTCAAATTCTTTTTAAATTGTCTAATGTTTTTAATATGTTAATATGATATGATGATTGAGTATAATGGGGGTACAGAAAGTACACAATCTTCTCGTGGAAATCTAGTCCTCAATAAAGGTTGGTTGATTCAAAAAAAAAAAAAAAAAAACCACAATTGTAAATTGTAATAATGAATAACAAGTAATAAGGAAGGAGGGGAATAGTCAATTGGCTACATAACAAATGTACTTTAACAGGGAGAAAACTTTTCTCAAGCTTATTCCACACTATTAGAACACTTAATTCTCATGACTCATAAGTGGTTTAGAGACATTTCATCAAACACCTTAATCTTGACATCTTGTACTTTCCTTTTTACAAAGGTGAAGTAATTAAAGTCAATTAACCCTTGACTTAAGTTTGATGTCTTTTTTTTTTTTCTTTTTTTTTTTCTTCTGGCATGTATATATACTGATTGATTAATCAATAACTACTTTTTTTTTAAAAAAAAATTAATATTCTTTTACAGGGAGTAAGAATTGCACTTCTGTATCACGTAACATCTTTTGTGAATTCAGCATGTCACCAATGGGGAAATCGAGCATGGAACACTAGCGATCTATCTACAAATAATTGGTTTGTACAAATCTTTAATTGTGTTATCATTCTATACTAGCTTCTTTGTAGTGCCCATTCATGACATTTACTCATCTTATAAAGTTTAATTAACTTGGATATAAACTATCATCATCATCAGGTTAATAGCATTGCTTTCATTTGGAGAGGGTTGGCATAATAATCACCATGCCTTTGAGTTTTCAGCTAGGCATGGTCTAGAGTGGTATCAACTTGACATTACTTGGAGTATTGTGTGGGCACTCCAAGCTGTTGGTCTAGCAACCGACGTCAAATTGCCAACTAATGCTCAAAAGAGAGTTGGCTTTCAAAAATAACTCAATGGAAACTATTGAGATCATGCAATCTTAGAAATAGAGGACATGAAATGATCGAGAAGAATGCAATGATCGAGTATATAATTTCTAATTGTTGTTGTGGTTGTGGATGATTCATATGAACACTTTCATTTGTTGTTAGTACGTTGTTGTGGTGGTGGATGATTCATATGAACACTTTCATATTATTATTTTTTAATGCAATGTATTGTTATTGTTGTTCTAAAACATTTATATTATTGCATAAATTTGTGTGAGATCGTGTCCGTGAGACAATCGAGTCAGGGTCAAAATGTAATACTTATACTGGAAAAAATATAATAATAATCATGAATAAAGTGTTTGCTACTTATTATAAGGGGAAGTGTAATATTTTTGAAGAAAAATGTAATACTTCGTACTTTTACATTTTGATTTAAGGGTGTCTTTGGAAATCAGGAAAATGATTTTTGAAAAATGAGTCATTTTCTAGAATACATTCTCTTTTCCCGTGTTTGGTTGCATTCCATAAAACTGTTTTCGTGTGTTTGGATCATTTTATAGAAACTAAACAAAATTGTATAATTAAATATTTTAATTGTTTTATATTATCATCACTCACCATTAAACACAAACATTCTAATTATCAAAGCAATTTATTATCATCACTCACCATTAAACACAAACATTCTAATTATCAAAGCAATTCAAGGAGAATATAAGACATGTACAGAGACAGAACATTCGTGGATTATTTATATTATATTTCAAAGCAATTCAAGGAGAATATAAGACATGTACAGAGACAGAACATTCGTGGATTATTTATATTATATTACAAAGAAAGGGAACACCCAAACTACTAATTGCCTCTATTGAGGTTTGAACCTTTCACCTCCCACTTAGGAGAGCGGAAAACCAAATATCATTGGACCACAAGGTCCTTGATCATGGATTATTTATATAAATAAGCAAAATGAGTGTTATTTATAAAAAATAATAATAATAATAATAATAGAGTGTAACACCGGTGATATGGTTTCCAGAAACGAGAGCATTGGTTTCTGGGTTTCTGGAGGAAATCGGCGCTTTGGATTCCGACAGAAACCAGATAACTAGTGATATGGTTTCTTAGAACACTGGTTTGTCATGAGGAAACCAGCTGCGGGTTTTCATCAAAATTTTTAAAAAAATCTTGGACCAGAAATGAAGAAAGACATGGGAGAAGGTAGATACTGGGAGGGTCGAGGAAGAAGTCGCGGAAGAAGAAGCCGTTTGAATATGGAAAATGACTTCCCCTAAAAAAAAAGGGGGGGGGGGGGTGGGGGGGGGGGGAGTTGTTTTCCAAGAAAACAAAGACATTTTTTCCTTTGACCGAAAATCATTTTCCACGACTTTAATTTTCCAAACCTTGTCAAACACTGGAAATTCGAAAAATAATTTCCAGAAATCATTTTCTGAGTTTCCTAGCACACCTTAAAATATTACATTTTTCTACAAAAATATTAGTCTAGGGATGTCAACAGGGCGGGGTGGGGGCGGGGGACATACCCCCCATCCCTGCCCCTGACTTTCTTCCCATTCCCCGTCCCCGTCCCCATCTCACCGGGGAAGGAAAAACTCCCCCCATCCCCATCCCCACGGGGATTATTCGGGGACGAGGAATCCCTACCCCGTTAATAAGTTATACAAAAAATAAAAATTAAACATTAAAAAACATTTAAATAAATAACACGTATATATTCATCCCCAACTCAAAGTAATATTCCATATTTTACAATTAAACATATTATTTAAATATGCATTTCATAAGCATGACATACAATGACAAAATGCTTCTAAAATTATATATATTGTATACAAAGTACTACATATGTGTGTGTTGTGTGGCTACACACACACACACACAAATATATATATATATATATATATATATATATATATATATATATATATATATATATATATATATTGGGGACGGGGCGGGGAGAGTACTCCCAATCCCCGCCCCCGTCCCTGGCGGGGAATTCAAAATTGCCCCCATCCCCATCCCCATCCCCGATCCCCTATTTCTATCCTCATCCCCGTCCTCGTATAGGCAGGGAATCGGGTTCCCCGTCGGATCCGGGTACAATTGACATCCCTAAATATTACACTTTCATTTAGGGCATCCACAATAGAGATTTTGGTTGAAGCGGAAGAGAGAGAACGATTGAGAGCTTATTGCAAGAACATGGTTTTTAGTCTCTGAAGTGGGCCCCACCAAATATGAAAAAGGTACTCCTGCGATCGCATGAGACGCAACAACAGCGCCCAGCTGAGCGTGTGCACTGCTCGCGCCCGTTGGGCACGTTAAACCGCATATTTCTTCTCTTTTTTTTTTTTTTTTTTTTTTTTTAATTGCTTTTCAGATTTTATTTTATTTTATTTTTTTTTGTTTTTTTTTTTTTTTTTGCCCTTCACTCCCACATTCTCTTTCCTAGTCGCACCTGCAAAAACTGTTGGTCCCGGTGAAGGTTAAGTATGAGTCTAAAGGGGGGAGGGGGAGGGGGAGTGGATAGACTCGTAGGGTTTTTGAAAATTCTTGGCGAATGGTTAAGACTACCCGAGAGGTAATGTTAACTACTCGGTCAAAGTTAGTTCAAGTACTCAACAGAAAATATAAGTTAACCCTTTTAATTATAAGAAGTCCTTTACACATAAAGTTTGCTTTGTAAATATTAGGTTTGGTTGTGTTAATGCAAATGATAAAGCAGTAAAGAGAGTGGGAGAGTGAGAGAGATTTTTATAGTGTTCGGCTATAACGAGCTTACTCCACTCTTCTTTACAACTCCGTGAAGGTTTGCACTATCCCCAATACAAAACTTTGGACGTTCACTCCGTGACCACTGACCTGGCAGTGAACTCCACACCAATCAGGTTGTTCAATTCCTAACTGACTTTACTCCGCATTTTTCCACTACAACAGAGTAGAGATACAGTTTTGAAGAAAGATAATTTCTTCTTCTCCAGCAAAGATTTCTTGACTTCTTGAATTTGGATCTTCAAAGTTGAAGCAGCTCAAGACTCTTGAAAATCTGGATATGAACTTTAAGCTTTGGTCTCTCTTCTCTTTAATCATTGGTCGCAAAAATTAGATCGCTTGAAAGTTTTTCGCACTTGAAAATATGAAAATAACCAGCATCTTCTTCAGCTAAGGAAGGGGGTATTTATAGGCAGGGTGAAAAATAGTTCCATTGGAGGGAAAACTATTTTCAAATGCCTAAGTGACCACTGGGTAGAGACCGGCGGGTAATCCGGAAGGTAGGTGAGTGTTGTTAAATTTCCAGCCGTTGCAACCTTAATTTGCGCTGAACATTGCACAAAAGGTTAGGGCATTAAAAGGGAAATCGACATTGGGATATGTTCATTGGACACACTTTGCCTTTGGACATATTCACTTAACCTTTTAAAGTTTTGGACTGTACAGCTTAGAGAATGTCTCGAGCAGTCCTGTTGAGTGGTTAACTAGGTTAATGCCTCAAGCCTTAGGTTCTCTCGGATACGAATGGTTGAACTTACCACTCGTCCCTTAACTCCTCGAAAGGTAGGTCCTTCATATCTTTGACCTTTGCGACCTTTCGGTTACGAATAGTTGACCTCATCATTCGGTCTTGCAATACCTCGAAAGGTAGACCCTTCCACCTATCGGTCTTTAATTTGCAACCTTTCGGTCTTGATATTTTCAGTCTTCTATATCTGACTATAGATAACTTCTCGAGTTACTCTTCTTCTCGAGCTAGTTCAAGAGATAACTCCTCAGGTTGATCTTCAACTCGTTGTCTTCTTTGCATTCGAGAGTTACCACTCGGGGTTACTTTTCGAATCGTTGTTACGACTGGCCTGGCCTCTTGAGTGTCCATTTGGATGTCACTGCTGGAAATCTGCCGATTTCCGACCACCTGAAAGTGGTCGGAAATGGCCTTAATTAGGCCAGAAACGCCTGTTCCGACCACTTTTCCGACCAATTTGGGTATCCGGAAAATTCCCTCTCGCTGTTTCCAACCACCAGAGGAAGTGATCGAAAATAGAGACCACTTTTTTAATGCCGTCGGAAAAAACGACCAGAAGAATAGTCAGGCTGGTCTAGTGTTTCCGGAAATTTCGACCACTTTGGTGGTCGGAAAACTAGACGTATTCACTAAAAAAAATTCATTTCACTACGGAGGATCCTCCGTAGTGAAATGAAAATATATATATATATATATATATATATATATATATATATATATATATATAAATAGTTGCAAGCTAGTAAGATATTTACGGAAAAATAAATACAAAACATACAGACATTTCATTGCCTTTTACTGTGTTGTGCTGAAAAACATATACAGACATTTCATTGGCAAAAAATATGAAGAACAGAGAAAGTAAAATTGGTCAAGTAGCATTTACATCATTGATGTTGCAAAAAGTTGAAAAACATTGCTAGCAAGTAAAGTTACGTAGGAACGATAATAGATCAGTGGAATGAAGCTTCTTAATATGATGCTCAGTGGCTTCAAGGTTCCTATAAATAAGAAGTGTTATGGACCATCAGACTTTTTTGACAAAACTATGCAATAAGTAATGAAAAATGAGAGAGGGAAAGGCAAAAGAGAAAAATAAATAAATAAAACCAAAATTGGGAGAAAGTAACCAGAACTGAGGCATACTTCCTAAGTCTTCTGCAAGTTTAACAAGTTGCTAATCAGAATCAGGGGAGATAACTCGATAAGCACGGATAGCTTCAGCAAATTCACGTATAGAAGCCTGCGATTTAGCATACAGAACACTTCATAAGCAGGGAACAAACAACAAACAAACAACAAAAACTTAAAAAAGTGAACAAACATCACCACACCACAAAAACTGATGTTGTCTTGTTTTGAACAATCTGTCAAATGGGTGCATATATACATAAGCATTGTTCATTGGCACAATATGGTATTTATTGGGTTCATGGCACAAAAAATGGGATGTCATTATTCATAATTTTTCTGAAAAAAATTAAAAGATAATAGGTAGTTCTACAAATGAGAAATTATTTCTGACATCGTCTTTTACCTTGCTACGCAATTTCTTCTTAAAAGGTAAAATATTCAATTAGTAGCAATTTCTTATCTCATCTTTACATTTGATGAAATTATGTATTTAACTGTAGGTGAGTACTAGACAATCTCTTTTATGCCAAGATCCTAACAAAAAGAATGATTAAAACTAAGTTGAAATCCAAAGCAGTCAACCCAAGACCCCCCTTGAAATTTTAAAATGTTCACCAGATAAAATGTCATAGAAATCCCAGTCTGGAGGAGTGGAGGTTTTAGCTGCTTAAGTAAGCTATAGACTTCGACAAAAGTAGGCAGATAGGCAGATAAGTAAAAAGACAGTTCTACCTCATGACTAAGATGCCAAAGATTCTTGTCTCTACTATAGATGGACTTCTTTGTCACAGGTACAGGAACATTATGTTTCTTTGCATATTCAATAGCATCTTCTCTTCCCCTAATGTCCCACTCTCTCCCGGGGGCAACAACACTAAGTTCAGGATTCAGAGCAAAGAAAGTAAGCTCAAAGCGAACCTGTAAAATAATCAAGGCCATATTTCTAAAGATGGAATCAAAGAGCAGGTCCAATGCACTCTGCAAATCATAAAGGAACATGGAAAAAAGAATAGAAGATCGTAAATCATGCCTGGTCATTTCCCTTCCCTGTGCATCCATGAGAAACAACGTTAGCTCCAACTTCTCTAGCAACATCAACCATTGCCTAACATTACCAAAAGTGTGGTAGATCATAAGTAATATATAGTATAAGACAGCAAATACAGAGAAATATACAACAATTGTATTTATGAATGGCCTTTCATTAGATGAAACTGAAAACATTTTTTAGATCTGATCATGAACAAAATGTGATTTCCCGGGCAGTCATCTAAGACATTTGAAGCAAAAAACATATTAAGAAATAATAAATATAAGAGATAAGAGGGTCAAGCTACTAACAACACAAGCGTAGAAACCAGATTGTAAAAGAAGATGTTCTACATGTAAGTTCTTCATGAATTCATGCGCTTTTCTCAAAGTTTTACCATATTCTTTAGTAAGGTTCGTGGAAATGATTGCTTGGACAACAAATGCAGTGTTCCATGATTGGCTGCCATTATATCCCTGTAAGTAACAAGTTCGTGAAAGAGTTTTAAGGAAACAGAAAGTGCAATACTAGTCTTATATGAACAAATTAAAATCAATCACACAATTGTTCAACTTGCATTTTCATGCCATCTTCAGCAACGTTGCTTTACTGACAAATTAAAGAGACATACTTGGACAACGACATCTCCACTATATGCATTAATGCTCCCTTTCTTCCTCCTCTCCCATTATCAAATTTATTGAATTGAGATGAGAAAAGAAAATAGAATTGATAATTTCTTGCTATGTTCAAGCTGCTAGCTAAGATAATATATGTCTTGTTACCTTCTGTTCTTGAAAAGCTCTAGGAATTGCTTCAAACCCTTTCCATGTATACCTACTCTATGCCTTCCTTGAAATTAAAGAACCTGAACAATAAAGGTCAAACAAAAAGAAGAAGACACCCTCAGTAATCCAAGTAATTAAATGGATCCAAAGATGAAGTTAATGCCAATTTAAAGATCTTACACCAACACTTTCAAGAACATTCACAATGCCATAGATCCTCCTCCTTTCAACCCCTAAACCACAACCAAAAATACCTCAAGTTCAGCACATACACTTTCCGAAAAAAAAAAATGTTTAAAATAAACCATATGCAATAAAAGAAAATTGAAAAATTAGATCAGTACCTAGTTGCCTTGTTGCATCATCAAGCCCAATAGTTTCTATGCCTTCACGGTTATACAAGCTCAAAAAACTGCATAAACACACAACAATAAGCTGTAAGCACAAACTTGGCTTACATCAACAAATATAGACATAGAATTTAACTTTTTCGCATGAAACACTTTTTTTTTTTTTTGAATGCTTTCGCATGAAACACTTAAATTTTCATATCCAAACCAATTACTTAGCAAACAACCTACAATAGAAAATACTTGTCATAGAAAGATAAAACGCAAATGCTCACACAAACAGCTAACATGATATATTTAATGAGGTCATGCAAAATATTTGTTCTCTATTTCCTGTTCAAAGTGCATAACTGCATAAGACAAACAATTTAGAACCTCAAAAGATTCCAATTAGTCTATATCAGTAAACCCTTAATAACATCAATAAATGCAGACTGGTCATCAAGATTCCTCTACCAATCCCGTTGATGAAAGATACCCACTGGTATTCAATCTTGTCAACAAGCATCTTCATAATCTTCTTCCTTATAGTGATCATTGCCCTCACATCTATGCAGAGGAACTGCAATTCATAATTTTGCAGATTGGTCAATGGACAGTCACAATTTCAACTAAGTAACACGACTAACAAGCAAATCCTAGGCGGTTCTCTCCCCATATAATCAGAAATTACAACTGAAATAAGCTCAGAATATTCATTTGAATCATCATCTCAAAGACTCATCAATTTCAATTTTACCCTACTAACCATCATTAAACGGATTCTTCTTCGGTGTTGCAGGTGGATGTTGAATCCTAGGCAGCCTTCTCCCCTTTTTCTTGCCTTTCAGCCTCACCTATACAAATTCACACACAAATATTAATTTATACAGTAACAATATACTGAATCAGAATTGGTATGCCAAAATAAACCTGGATATTTTGTGAATTAGACTCGAGCTATAAAGAAAAATGCTTACATTTTGAAATGAGTGATTGAAATCGGCGGTCTTCTTATCTCCTCATCCACAGTAGACTCAAATAATAAGAGTAAAACATAAAAATCCATTCAGCTCAAAAAGATATATATGTCACAGAAAAGTACCTAGATAAACCCTACAATGAAAGAAGAGAAAAGAGAGTACCTCACGGCGGTCTGCTCACGCCGCTCCTATGAAGTAGCCACAGGTTTGCTCAATAGAATAAGGAAACTAAGGATTAGGGATTAAGATTAGAGAACTAGGATGGTGATGGAGACCATGGCAGAGTCGGGAAGAGGCGACAACGGGAGAGACTTTGGTGCAGGTAGAGACGGCAGAGGAGGTGGGATCGACGACGAAGAGAAGGCTGAGATAGCGGCGAAGGCAGGAGCGACGGCGTGCAGAAGTGGGAAGTGTTTGGCTCTGTTGAGCGATGCGAAGTGTGGTATTTGTTTGGACGAAGTACTGTGTTTGGGCAAAAATTATAACGTATTTTTTGTTTGAGAGGAAAGACTTTTTTATTTGAGAGAGAAGACTTTTTTTATTTGAGAGGAAGACTACTTTATGTAAGAGAGGGTAATAAAATAATTAAATTTTGCAAAATATTTCCGATCACCATGTAAATAGTGGTCGGAAATTCCGACCACTTTCTGACCATTGCAACCCTCCGTCGAAAAAATGAAAATAAATCACTTTTTGCGATCAATTATTTGAGTGGTCGGAAATGAGGTCGGAAAAAGGCTAATTTCCAGCAGTGTGTGTACATTTCCACTACCCAATGTACCATTCGGTTTGATTCAAATGTTGAGCAAAAATATCCCTAGTATAAAATATAAAATAATTAGGGGTCTAAACTCTTATTGTTTGGTATTATCAAAATCTAAGTACAAGTGTTCCTAACAAAAAATTCTCAAAATTTATGCCTATTGAGGATGCTCTTATAAGTAATGTTGGCAAGTGTTTGTTACTTATAAGAAACAATATAATATAATACTTATGATAAAAAATTTAGTACTTTTAAATCAAAATGTAAAAGTATTATACTATTATATTTTTTTTTCAAAAGTATTACACTTTCTCATATAAGTAATAAACAATTTATTCTTAATTAGTATTACATAATCATCTTGACCCAACCCATCTCACGGACATGGATTTGTGAGACGATCTTATTACACAAATTTTTGCCAATAAATTATGTTATATTTATTAACCCCATCATCCTTGCACTATCAAGAAACAAGTGAAACAAATTCATCGTGCCAATCAAATTGAAGAGCATCTACGGACAAGATAGCCTTGCAAGTTAATATATAATTGGATACCAGTACGCCAACGTACACCCTTATTCTCAAGTTCATTATTAAAAAAACATAAAAATTACATACACACGCAGATCTCATGAACGAAGACTAACTGTCATTGTCCAGATCGATCCGGACGAAAGGCAAGAAATAAAAATAAGTCCAATATATAGATGAATGAAATACACAAGATAATGTAATTCAACCATCTAATTTTAAAAAGTACAAATAACTACTTGAACAAGTTAAATTTATATAATCAATTTAGATATCTATTTACTCCAAGTAAAAATGTAATATCGCGTTTAAAATTACAAATTTCATTTCATTTTTTTTAATTATTTAGATAACCTTAAAATAAAAATAAAAATGGAAGACATGTAGCGGGAGTGGCTACTTTCACCCTGGCCTCCTTCAAAGTTGATGGTGGTGTTGTCCTTTGATTTGTATGGATTCTATTGGGATTATTTGTTTTTTTTTTTTTTTTTTTTTTTTTACATATTTATTTTGTTCACAAAGGTTGACTCATAACATATATAGACAATAAGTTTGTTAAATAAAATGTAAATTATTAAAAAAAAAAAAAAACAAACAAACAAACATACAAACATACAAACAATGAGCAATGTCTCATTTTGATATATAATATAATTGCAAGGTGTCAACTTGTTTGATAAGTTAAATTAAATGTACTTTTTTTAAAAAAAGTTGCAAATTGGATGGTTCAATTATATCTTCTTCTGTAGATGAATAGCCTGTTTAACCATTTAAAAAAAAAAAAAAAAAGTACTTACTGAAATAAGATATATAATTTGTTACTATAGTAAGCCAGTAAGGGCATGCTGGAGTTGCTGGTAGCTGTCCCTTTGATTGTGGTTCCCAAGTTCCTGATTTGCTAGCTTTGTCTAGCTTGTGTCTTGGTGTGAGTATATATATATATATATATATATATATATATATATATATATATATATATATATATACGAGAAAATAACCAAACCAATTAAAAGGCACACAAAATTAAAGAAAATGGCATCCTTATCATCGCTGTGGCCGTCACCAGCAGCTAAACCAGTTTTCTTTTCACTACCACAAACCTGCATCCCTTTACTTAGACAAACGCAAACCCCCAAAACTCTTCAAAGTTCCCACATTTACACAACAAAACTAGGACAAAATGGTTTCTTTAATTCCAAGGAGGAAAAACATAAAAGGTTGTCACCCATTGTGTGCTTTCGCCCGGCTTCTGATGACGACGGAGAAGACACACCACAAGCGGCAAAGAATCAGCAGAGAGTTGAGTTTTGGACGAAAATGACGAAATCTTTGGAAGTGGCGCCTGGTTCGCAGATGGCGAAGGTGGTCCTGCTTCCGTTGATGCATTGCCTTTCTCTTTTTGCCCCGTTTTGTTTCAGTTGGGATGCTTTTGGCGTTGCGTTTGTGTTGTATATCATCACCGGGCTGGGTATTACTCTCTCTTATCATAGAAATCTCAGTCATAGAAGTTTCAAGCTTCCCAAATGGCTCGAGTACTTTTTTGCCTATTGCGGTGTTCTTGCTCTTCAGGTCTTGATCTCATCTTCATGTGTTTAAGTAGCTACGTAGACTATGAATACAGTAACACTAATTTTTATTTTTTATTTTTACAACATAACTTTTATGCTTTAGGGAGATCCAATTGGGTGGGTGAGTAACCATAGATATCACCATCAGTAAGTGGATACTAAAAACGATCTCCACAGTCCCATTGAAGGATTTTGGCACAGTCATGTAGGTTGGCTATATGACACCAAAGCCGCTATTAAAAAGGTAATATTTATAATATTCAAACTATCTTACATATTTAAAATATAATAACTTAGAGACTTGTTTAATTGGTATGTTTTAATTGATTTAATTTTTTTTTTTGACAGAGTGAAAGACCGACAAATGTAGGAGATTTGGAGAATCAATTCTTTTACAACTTCATTCGTAATACATACATTATTCACCATATTATACTTGCAACATTGCTATATGCCATAGGTGGATTTCCGTATGTAGTTTGGGGCATGGTATGCATTATTTTCAATTCACTTATTAATTTTTTTTTTTTTGGGGGTTTGTCTTTACCCGTTCCTTTGAATTTGGTACGGAGTATTTATTAGCAAGATTATATTCATTATAGACTATATTCTTTTTATTACATTAATTTTCCTACTATATACAAAAAGGAAATTATACTAATTAATGATCCTAAAAAAAAAAGAATTTATTTAGTAATCAAACATTAAAAAAAAATGCAATAAAAGAATGCCAAATATAATATTATATTTGGCATTCTTTTATTGCATTTTTTTTTTTATGTTTGATTACTAAATAAATTCTTTTTTTTTTTGAAATTTTGTTGTAGTTCACTAATTCAAGGGCACGTAATGAATATAGTGTTCTATTAACACATTAGAAGATCAACATAACTTAATTAGGAGCAAAAATTAAACTTATTCTAAATTTTATTCACTCTCCGAGCCTCCACATCCAAATTGTTTATATATTGTGTTTTAGTGATGCAATTTTAAAATTTTGGACACATATGGCGTATTATAGTTTTGTTATAAAATATTACATTTATGCTATAAACTATTACATAATTATATAAAACTTAAAACATTGATGATATATGTAATTTTGTTATGTTATTACTTTATTCTCTGAAAAATGCATATTACATTTATACTATAAAGTATTATATTATATATAAGGCTTAAATATTGATTATATATGCAATTTTATTATGCTATTACTTTATTTCCTGCAAAATGTTTATTACAGTTTTACTATAAAATGCTACATTTATGATATAAAGCATATTATATATAAGACTTAAAATATTAGTTATATTTGCAAATCTAATATGATCCATTTTTATTAGATTTGACTCATCTCACGGATTGAGCCCGTGAGACCAGCTATATATATATATATATATATATATATATATATATATATATATATAGGGTCCGGTTCAGGTGAGAACAATTGCTTGGGTGTGAACTCTTATGCACCGTTGAGTTCTGATATTAGATGGCCAACATATGAGGATTGGTGCAGTGGTGCATCCAGTGCACTTGTGCAGTGGTGCAACGATGTGGTGTATCATGTCAAAATCATTATAAACCACAAGATTGAGCAAGATCAACGGTGCACAATGGTACACATGTTCATATGTTAACTGAGGTTCTCATTTGAACCTAATTATATACATGGTTGCAGTAGGCGCTAGTCGAGCGGTAGAGTAGCGCCGCCTAGACGGCCTAGGCGAGCTCTTATGCAGCTAACTTCAAGAAAACAACAATGTGTGTGTGTGTGTGTGTGTGTGTGTATAGGGTCGCACTCCTGTGCGAATAAGTGCCCAGGAAGGAAATTAAATGCGAATAGATCAGCGCCATCCACGTGTCCAGATCAACGAATCAGATGTAATCTTAAAAAACGACGCGGTGACATTTTTGTAAATAACTCGAACTTTGGTGCATGTAAATGTGTTATATGTGCAAGTAGTTGGTGCACCTTTGCAAGTAAAAATTGCAGGTAAAATTACTTACATGTGCACCTACTTTCACCTATAAGTGCATGTAATTTTGCCTTGTTAACATTCATTGATGTGAGTTCGTTCTGTTTGGCGTCGCTTTTGTTCTTGCGGGGAGTTCAACAGGTAGTTAGTACCCGTGAAATCACCCGCAAACATTCCTACACCTAGGTGCAACTACTTATAACTATATGTGCACCTAGTTATAACGTCAGGTGCACTTAGTTTTGATGATCAGTGTAAATTTTACTTGCACCTATAATACATTTTACATGCACTTGTAATACATTTTACTTGCACTTAGGCGCAGTATATGAAACTGCTACTTGCACATGTAATACATTTTACTTGCACTCTGATGTCCAATTATTTACGAAAATGCCACCGTGTTTTTTAAAAAAATCAGTGTTTCTCATTCATTAGATTTGGGTACGTGTATGCACAGCAATCATTCCTATTTCGCTCCTAGACAATCCATTCGCACGGGAGTGTGACTATATATATATATATACCCTCAATCCTTTTCAATTGCATTTCCATTTTGTGCCTTCGAGCACAATATATACATTATTGCTAAGTAATTTAATTTCTTTATAAAAAATAATAATTGGGCCTCCAAGTTGTACATTGGTCTTGGGTGCACATGCAAGACTAGGCATGATTTTTTGTTTATATTTTTTTTAAAACAGACTAGGCATGATTAATTGGTCGATAATTTACTTTTAAAAAAAAAAGTTATTAATATTCTTTAATTTGCAGGGAGTAAGAATTATATTTTATTCTCACGTAATATATTCTGTGAATTCTGTGTGTCACCTATGGGGAAATCAAGCATGGAATAGTGGTGATCAATCTAGAAATAATTGGTATGCTAAAATCTTTAATATCTTACCATTTTTGTTGATAGTCGTTTCATATATATATATATATATATATATATATATATATATATATATATATATATATATATATATATACTATTTAATATAATCTAATGAAGTTTGGAAATGAACTTTTGACAGGTTAGTGGCAATGCTTTCATTTGGAGAGGGTTGGCATAACAATCACCATACCTTTGAGTATTCAGCTCGACATGGCCTAGAATGGTGGCAACTTGACATAACTTGGTATGTTGTGAGGGCACTACAAGCTTTTGGTTTAGCGACTGATGTTAAATTGCCTACTGATGCTCAAAAGAAAAAGATGGCTTTAACTACAACTTAATGCTTTTGACTTGAAAGCACACAACCTGAAATATGCATGGGATATGGAATGTGAGGAATGCAATATGTAATTTGTAATTATTGTTGTTGTTTTTATATAATTGTTATGGAAACTTATGTTATAAAAACTTGGATATGTGGGGTGGCTGAAATGAGGGAATTGAGGAAATGAGATCTTTATGCCTATAATCAATTTTCTTTAAGTTTTAAATCAAGGGAGTTCTTGCTAAACCTCTAAATTCAATTTAAGGTGTGATAGTTCAATTGATAGAATTAATATTTTCTTGACAAGTGTGCTAGCTATTTTCTATGACATTTGAGCAGCTTAGGCTAACTAAATTAGCAAATCACTGATTAGAAAAAAAAAAAAATCATTCAATCTCTAAAGCTTTAACAGCTTCCATGCTTCCCCATCCTATTGTATTCTGGAATAAAATTATGTACTTTTCTATGTATTCTATTGTTAGAGTATGTCTCAAAAGTAGTACTCCTTATTTAAGTAAAAACTTTCCTTTACTTTAATCTGCCTAGCTTCACCTCGGACCACAACCCCCTAATGTTAAATCTGATAAGCAGAATTGATTCAGCAAAGCCACGCAGGTTCCAGTTCAAGGCGATTTGGGGAGCGCATGCGGACTTTGCAGTCACCGTGAAGAATAGCTGGAATAAATCCACTGGAAAAAGCTTTGATGAAAAATTACAAGATATGGAAACAGAGCTAACTGCATGGAGTAGGGAAGCGATCGGGGATCTCGAGAAACGACGTAAACGCCTTATTGCAAGACTTGATGGCATTCAACGAGCAAGTGGGTATGGCAGAAGAGGGGGCTTGATCAAGTTAGAAGCAAAATTGCGAACAGAGCTGGATGAAGTCCTATACTATGAGGAACTAGCATGGTTCCAAAGGTCAAGGGAGGAGTGGATAGTATCGGGAGATAGGAATACCAAATACTACCACGCTATAACCAAAGTCAGAAAAGCGAAGGCGATGGTCACTAGCTTGAAAAATAATGAAGGGGAGTGGATTTTGGAGGATGATCAGATTAGGAAGATGGTTCAGGACCATTTTCATAATTTTTTCACAGGAGATCAGATTAGCACGAATGGAAGGTATGTTCATCTCACACCCGTTAATCTTAGTAATACTGATATCTCTTTGTTGTGCAGGAACGTTACTTCAGATGAAATAAGGAAAAGTCTCTTTGAGATGGCTCCTTATAAAGCACCTGGCCCGGATGGTTTCCATGCGGCGTTCTACCAAAAAGCATGGAATGAGATTGGGAATGATCTTTCTGACGCGGTCAAGTCCTTTTTCCAAACTGCCAAACTAAGCCACAATTGGAATGACACCCTTTTAGCTCTCATCCCTAAGGTCAAGCACCCAGAAGTGGTGACCCAGTTTCGCCCAATCAGTTTGTGTAATGTCAAGTATAAAGTCATAGCGAAGGTGATTACTAATAGACTCAAGGAGGTTATGGGCAAAGTTATTGGGGAAGAACAAAGCGGCTTTGTCCCTCAAAGGCGAATAATTGATAACATAGCGGTCTACCAGGAATTATTGCATACCATGAGAACGCGTAGAAGTGGTCTTTGTACAATGATTCTTAAGATCGATTTGGAAAAAGCTTATGACAGGTTGTCTTGGGATTTCCTGCGGGATACTCTGGAAGATCTCGGTATTCAGGGGCACTGGATCAACATTATTATGGAATGTGTTACTACCCCTAGACTCGCTATCTTATGGAAGGGAGACCAACTGGATTGGATTACCCCCACTAGAGGGCTCAGGCAAGGGGACCCAATTTCTCCTTACCTTTTCGTCCTCTGTATTGAGCGTTTGAGCCGTATGATCAAAGAAGAGGTCCTTAACAGGAGATGGCGAGGTGTTAAGCTCTCGAGGTATGGCCCCGAACTTACTCACTTACTCTTTGCTGACGACATGGTTTTAATTGCAGAAGCCTCTATTGACCAAATAAGGGTGGTGAAGAACTGCTTGAGAAAATTCGAAAGTATGTCTGGGCAGAAAGTTAGCTTGCAGAAGTCTCACATCTTCTTCTCGAATAATACTGATCTTGGACTTGCCCAAAATATAACACGAGAAGCTGGTATCTTAAGCACGGAGGACCTAGGACGTTACCTCGGTGTCCCTTCGATCCACGGAAGAGTAACGCAAAACCTCTTTACCCCTTTAATTGAGAAAATTGATTCCCGACTAGAGGGTTGGAAAGGAAGGCATCTAACCCTTGCTGGAAGAACAACACTCGCCCAAAGTGTCCTAAATGCTATCCCCTACTACATCATGCAATCGATGTACATCCCCAAGGGAGTTTGTGAAACGATTGAGAGGAAAATTCGAACTTTTATCTGGGGTGATGGCTCTCATTTAGTTAACTGGAGCACGGTTACCTTACCAAAAGATAGAGGGGGTCTTGGCCTACGACGCTTGAATGAAATGAACTTAGCCTTCCTCGCAAAGGTCGGATGGAGACTTTTGATCGAGAACAACAACTTATGGAAACAAGTGATTCTAGGCAAGTACATGCATGGGAAAGATGTTAACCAGGCCTTTACCTGGAGGAAGACGAGCTCAAACATTTGGCGTGGAATTTGCGCAGCTGATCCGATTCTGAGGAAAGGACTGGGAAGGACCCAACATCTGCCTAACTCTCAAGGAAAAACAAACGAGGCAATTTTCTGGAAACCTGAGAGTAACGGTAGATGTTCGGTCTCATCGGCTTACCACTTGGCGATGAACATGACTGGCCCAGAAAATGAACAAGACTGGAAAGCAATATGGAAGATGAAGGTGCCGAGGAAAATTAACACCTTCGTCTGGCTGCTTAAGCATGAGAAGCTGATGACTAACGTGGAGAGACGTAGGAGAGGCTACACTATGGATGCAAGATGTCCGAATTGTGACCACATGGAAGAAGATGCAAAGCACTGCATTAGGGACTGCAAGATGGCAAAGGAAATATGGGAAGTGTTTCTTTCTTATGGGGCCTATAGGAGGTTCTTTTCTATGAATTTTGATACGTGGTTATCTGCTAATTTGACAGGAAAACCAATGAGGAATTTGGGAGCAGATTGGGTCGTGAGCTTTGCCACCATAGCCTGGTGGATATGGAAGTGGAGGTGCAACAAAGTCTTCATGAATATCGAATGGGATCTAAGCAGAAAAATCAACTGGTTAAGAGAACAGAAGATTGAAACGATGAGAGCTTTTGCCAGACAAAAGATCCAACCAATAAAAGAGAGAGGAAGCAGCACTCTGAAGAACGGCTGGACTGCACTTCACACGGACGCTTCCTTCATCTCGGTTGATCTCCCTACAGGTTGCGGAGGACTCATGCGCAACCACAATGGGGAATGGCTTGGAGGCTTTAGTTGTATGACGAAAACAAGCAACGCCACTGAGGGAGAGCTGTGGGCAGCTTATTTAGGCCTCAAGTGGGCTTGGGATCATGGTATAAGAAAGCTTAAGCTGTTTAGCGACTCGCAACAAGTGGTAGATTGGCTCTCGGGTGGCGTCGAACCTTTGGGCCAATGTGGATCTCTCGTGTCTTGGAGTAAGGAATGGCTCGAGAAGGACTGGACGATCACCATCGCTCACATACCACGTGATCAAAATAACACTGCTGACTGGTTGGCTAAAGTGGCGCCGAGGAAAAAGTGCGAATGGATTGAGTTCAATAGATGCCCGGAGGAAATCAGAGACTTCATGAGGAAAGACGGTGAACTGCTATTTTCAACTGAGAGGAGAAGCTAGTGTATCAGGGTACCCCCTCCCCCTTCCCCAAAAAAAAAAAAAAGGGATAATCGGATATACAACAATGGTTTCTTGGTTTGGCCATAGTATTATTTTTTTTTATATATAAATTAATATTTGATGCATTTAGGGAAAACTAGAACTAAATTGGTTAGGATGTTGATTTGATAATTACAAAGTAACAAGTTTGATGCGCACCTTTGGATAATAGTTGCAGGTATTTTTCGTCACTTAATTTTTTTATTTTTTTATTTTCATAAAGACATGAATAATTCTATATTTTATATTATTTTGATTAGATGGGCAATTGTTTTATATAATGTTTCATTCTTGATCTCCATTTGTCTCGTAGTTTGAGGACTTGATTTACTTATGTTGTGTTTGGAAAAGTTGTTCTTCTTTACATAAAAGAAATTACAACTAGAAGATAAGAATTTAGAATTAACGAGTCGGTAGTACTTAAAAATGAAACATTAAATAAAAATCCAAAACCTACTGAAGCACAAAAAGCCAATAACACCTCCATTGAGTCTCAAACTCATAACCTCCTATATAGGAGTCTAACCCGAGTGCCATCTGTGTACAAGATGCTTGGCCAGGTATTGGAGTATAATTGTTTTAATTTCAGTCATTCTAATCATTTTCACTGTAAGGATGTATTTGGCATTGTCCATTACTCCATTTAGATAAATTGTGATTAAAATGATTAAAGGGTTCCACTACAATCGAACAGGGTAACTCAAGTGGCAAATGGGCTCTCTTTGTGGGGGAGGATTCCGGGATAACTCGAGTTTGATTCCCTTAAGTAACGATTCTCTTTGGGCCAGCTCCCGTGCCTCCCGGAGCGAACGGGGATTAGTCGGGTGGACTTGGACCGTTAAACATACAGAGAAAGACCTAGACTACCTTGTGGTTTACAAAAAAAAAAAAAAGGGTTCCACTACATATGTTATTATCTCAATTTAACTGCTATTCAAAATACACTTTCAATTTATCGTATTTGAACGGTTGGTCGTCCCTTGGCAAAATCTCTTACCATTCCATCAATGTACAAAAAAAAAAAAAAAAGATAATAATCATTAGAAATCATGTGTTAAACAAAAATAAAAAAATAAAAAAGAAAAAGAAGTGAGGGCGTGAGGCTAAGTAATAAAACGTTATGGTTTAGGTGTTCCGCCATACCCTCGAGTGATGATTGCTTCTATTTTGTTGCATAATTTTTTATAGTCAAAGTGATAAATAACATGAATATTTCAATTTGGTAAGATGTCTGTAGACTTTAGTAAGTATGAGCTACATGGTTTCCCATATGTCTGCAACAAAACATGTAATACAAACAGTTATTACTGGCAAATTGTATCATGGATCAAGATTCATCTTGAATTGTGGACCATGATCCAAAATGACATTCAAATTATGTGCGTATATTAACCTATGATGTGTCTATAGTTGTTGGAATAAGGGACTACATTGAGGATGAGAAGCAGAGAGAGCAGATTGAAAAAGAAGAAGAAGATTGTATTATTCTGATAAAAGCATTCGATTACTGAGAAGATAAGAAGATTATATATGAAGCGGTTGAAACATAAAGATAGGGGTAGGAGGATTAAGACAAAAATAGCCATATGCTATTTATTTTATATCCTCCAACACCCCCCCCCCCGATAGGGGTAGGAGGATTAAGACAAAAATAGCCATATGCTATTTATTTTATATCCTCCAACACCCCCCCCCCCC